TTTATTTGAGGAGGGGCTATTATGGTTATCCTTTTTAATATTTATTTATTAAAATATGAAATAATCAAATAATTATATCATATGTTTCTAAATTATGATCCTATTTTAGATTGGTTCTAAGCTATTTCTTTGGATTGTTATTTTTATTTAGTAATCTAGGGTGCTTACAAGTGATATTATCTGTTCTAAATACTCTCAATCTTTTGACAATGAACGCTCAAATATTTTATAGTCTCTAGTGCTCGAACCTAAGACCTATGAGAATAACAACTATTCTTTTAACCGCTGAAGTAACTTGATTTGTGTTAAATTGTATTTTTTAAACGTAAAGTCTAATATAGAATAAAAACTAATAATTTAAACCAAAGTTAATTGAAAAACACTTTTCTACTATCCTCAAAAAGTTAAAAATTCAAATTTAAAGATAGAGGAATAAAAGAATTATCAAATTTTGAGGTCGGTATAAATAAAAGTTTTAAGGACTAAATTAGAAAAAATTATCAAATTCAGTGACTAAGTGTTACTTTATCTCAAATGTATATTGAGTTCTACCATGATTTGAAATTTTCAAAATTCTTATTCAACTCGATTGAGTTGGAGTCGTATATTCTAATTGTTCATTTTATTAATCAATAATATTAATAAGAATTAAAATTTTATTTAAATGCTTAAATTGGAGTCGAGTTAATCTGGATAATTTATTTTAATATTTTAGAATTAATAAAAAAATTGTATCAAAGTTTAAAATTTTTGATTTAATCACTAATATTTCATCTATTGATTGACTAATTCGAATTAGATATTACACATATGTATTATAAGAAGAACCCTATGTAATAAAACAAACAAATAAAAATTTAGGTTCGTTGTTAAAATTTTAATTTGGACTAGACCGAATAAATTCGAATATTTGACCCGAACCAGACTTGTTGGGATGTCTCTCTTGTAACCTGTCCCCTAGTCTTTCTATCTCCCTACATCTACTCCATTGTTTCTGTGCTTTTGTAAGACCAATTCCACTCTAAAACTCCTATATAAGTTTAATCTCGCCAAGCACCTTTTGTAATTCACTAAACACCCATTTCCCCGTTTAGATTTCCATGTCTTCACTGTATTCTACGTGTTGTGTCTTATTTCTAGCACTGGCAATAGTTGCGTTACATGTTTCACCGGCTGTTTCGACGTCGAGGAGAGTATTCGTGGGTTGGCATGAGCCTGAACTAGGATTCAGGGTCATGCTCAAGCACATCGACTCGGGTAAGAATTTAACCAAATGGGAGTGAATCCAACGTGGGATAATCCGCGGGCAACATAGGCTCCAAAAGTTGAATGATATGGTTTTGACAGCAGCGGACGGTTCGGTTGGTGTTAAAGCTCCTGTTGTTGCGGGGAATGGTGAATATCTGATGTACTTATCGATTGGGACGCCACCGAAGAGTTACTCTGCAATCATGGATACGGCTAGCGATCTGATTTGGATTCAATGCAAGCCTTGCTCTCAATGTTATCAACAGTCTGCCCCGATCTTCGACATACGCTAAGCTGTCGTGCAAGAGCCACCTTTGCAAAGCACTAGCGCAAACAACGGTGTAATGGGTGCAAGTATGCGTATTCATACGGTGATTATTCCTCGACGCAAGGTGTGATGTCAACCGAAATATTAACGTTCGGCAAGGTGTTGGTTCCAAAAATCGGATTTGGCTGCGGAGAAGAAAACGAGGCCGAAGGGTTCTCGAAAGGTGCGGGTCTAGTGGGACTCGGACGTGGTGCACTGTCTCTAGTCTCGCAATTAAAAGAACCCAAGTTTTCTTATTGCCTTGTACCCTTCGATGACACCCATAAAAGTACACTTTTGATGGGGTCTATTGCACGAGTGAATCGCACATTTGGTGCAGTAAAGACCACCCCAATGATACATAATCCATTGCAGCCATCATTTTACTACCTTCAACTTAATGGAATTTCAGTCGGAAAAACTCACCCGCCTATCGAGAAATCAAGTTTCGCACTCCGAGCTGACGGTACCGGCGGCTTAATCATCAATTCCGGTACGACCATTACGTATCTAGAAGGAAATGCTTTTCATGCGGTCAAGAAAAGATTCATCAAGAAAATGAAGCTTCCCCTCGACAATTTGGGTGGGACAGGGCTCGACCTTTGCTTAACCTTGCCATCAGGTGTTACGGAAGTAAAAGTTCCGAAATTGGTATTCCATTTCGAGGGTGCGGATTTAGATCTACCGGCAGAAAATTATATGATCTCTGACACGGAGTCAGCATTGATTTGCTTGGCGATGGGAAGATCCAACGACATATCGATCTTTGGCAACATTCAACAGCAGAATACGATGGTTCTTCATGATCTCAAGCAGAATACTGTATCGTTCGCCCAAACACAATGCCACAAGTTATGAATTAATTCCTGGCCTATTTGAAAAAAATTCAATTTTGAACTTCATTTGGAGATGACAGATCCCGTCATTTTAAATAAAATCAATGCTTCTCGCTTGAATTTATTAGTAGTGCTTCTTAATTTTCTTATCAGCCATCAAATTAGGGACTGGTGGTAAACAAGATGCTCACTGTTACCAGGAGGAACCAAAATTTGGATGATCGTACTTGAGTCGGACATATACCCGTAAGCCGTAACCGACACACCGAAATTCGAATAACATGTTTTAAGAAAAATTGACAGTCATAAAATCACGGTCAGTGGTGAGTACAACCTTATCACCGTCATCATGTTCATAGTATATACATATATAAAAATGAGTATAAACAATAAAATTTGACAGGACCACAAAAAGTACAAAATAGAGAAATCAACTCACCAAAAGCTGGGGATGACTATTCTTTACCAAGTATATACGTACCAAAACTGAATACATCCGAGAGAGAGAGAGTACGGATAACCAAACGCCGTGAGCGGCGCAGGTGTTTTTTGTGACGCTTAAAAACTCCACTATAGGTAAAAAAACACCGTAAATATACAGTTTTGCTGTAGTGCGCACTAACGGAACGACGAATGCAATGAACACTAACATGACAATGTATATGGAGCAGTGGAATCCAAGCACTTACATATCAACATTCGAAGATACCAATTGACGTACAGTTCAATATCTTTAACAAAATTTTACATTTTTTCATCCAAGTTCAATCGCAACATTCTTTTATATCTTTTGTAGTTACCCTAAACTAAGTAAATATCAATAAATTTATCTCTATCATCTTTTTTTTTTTGAAAGAAGGTACTTTATATTGAAACGTTTACAAAGTACACTACCTCAAGAACCTTATTAAAAAACCTTCCTAATTCTAAATGGAGGAAAAAGAATATTTCTTAAGGTAGTTAGAAATTAAGAACATCTTTAATAAAGTTGATCACACATAACAAACACCATCCTTAACTCCAGACATGGAGAAATAGAGATAGGGATCCATCCAATTTAACCATCCACTACACAACGAAGCATCGATTAGAACCAAGGACATCAATCTTCATGCAAAAAGACTCTTGAGGCTCGAAACGGAAACTTGGACACCAGAAATCTGCATTACCCACAAACTATAAACACGTACTCCAATCTTCCACTCAGTACACAGACATTATTCACACTTGCCATTCACCTCTCCTTAATAGAAATAAAAACGCTATTGAAAACTAAAAGGATTGAAAAATATGGCCTAACATAACTATAGCAACCAGATAGTTCCTATACAGAAAATATTTAACTCCTCGTAAACAACTGGAATGATCAACAGCATCACAATTTCCAATTTCCTTCTGAAGCTCAATCAATGACAACTCCAAAATCATGGACCATAAATGCTAGACTGTGATTGCACCAGTAGAACTAAATATTTCTTTATAGCCTCTTTAAATTTTAAAGAAATTAAACATAAATAATCTATCAATTTTTGGGAGTTTGATGGTTTTCTCAAATTTTAAAATTTTGAGGTATTTATTCAAAAATTCGAACGATAAGAAGTACAATTTATAGAAAAATAATAACACACCTCGTAATTAATCTCATCAGATGATTGTTGGAGGAGATCATAACATTAGAACATTAAACTTTAAGATTAATTTTCATCGATTTACAGTGAGTTTCATAGAAAAACAATCAGAAGAAGAGAAATATAAGTAAAATACGAACATTTTAATTATGATCTTATCTCGAATGGTAACCAGTAATGAACAACAATTGACTGATGATTATTGTTGAAAAATTTGATAATTTTCTAAAAAATGGAAAAAATTCATATTATCATCATTAAATTTTGATGTTTATATGAAGGCGTTTAAATAATAGTTTCTTTTGGGATTAATCATTGTTATTCGATCTATTGATTGTTAATCCAGATCGGGTACTGCAAAGACGATGATGACCCTCCCAGTCCAGTTTGCTCTATTCGCAAATATCAGGGTTCGAACTTATGACACTGTTTAAAGAATCTAGTATCTCATCTCACTAAATCAACTTGTTGGTACCTAAAGTTAACTTTATGTGTCTAATGTTTCTAAAATTACACTTTTAAGTGCTCGGACCATTAATACCATTAAGTGACACATGTCAAACATATAAAATTTTAAAATTTATTTTTTTAAAATAAAAATTTTATAAGCATGACATATGTCACTTAACGACTAATTTTAAGACGGACACCTAAAGTGTAACGTTATAAACATTAGACACATATTTTTTTTTAAAAAATCTTTAAATATTTAAAGTGTATAATTTTGACACTTATTTATTTTAATTTTTAAAATATCTCATTCAAAATGTCTTATTAAAAAATTAAATAAATAACAATACTTATATTTCTTTTTTCACCCTTGCATATCTATTTTTTTATATCTATCAAAATAAATCTATCAAATCTATTAATTATTTTTAGAGATAATTTATTTTTATCATTTTACGAATATATATTTACTAAAGTAATCCCGAGTGAAGCTTAACATAATATTTAGGTCTTATTTTCCGACGTTCGGGTCCGACCCTGCTCATTTGCATACACGCAATGTCATACTAACTTCATTTCCATCCCATGACCTTTTTCCCATGAAAATGAAACAGTTTGCCTTCTTTTTCCTCCTTTTTCTCGCTTCCCAAACGGTCCATTCCTGGAAAAAAGACGAGTTCCGAGCCTGCGACCAGACCCCTTTCTGCAAGCGAGCTCGATTTCGCAAACTCGGCTCCTGCACTCTAATCGCCACCGATGTCTCCATTTCCGACGGTGACCTCACTGCCAAGCTCATTCCTAAAGCTAAACAATATCATGATCAAGATCCGATCAAGCCGTTGACTCTCTCTGTTTCAGTCTACCAATATGGGATCCTGCGGCTCAAGATCGACGAAGATCCCTCGTCGAACCCACCCAAGAAACGGTTCCAAGTCCCCGATGTGATTGTCCCCGAATTCGAGGGTAAAAAACTCTGGTTACAGAGTGCCACCACGGAGAAACTCGACGGAGATATTGGGGGTTTATCTTCCGTGGTCTACTTATCCGACGGCTACGAGGCGGTTCTCAGACACGATCCTTTTGAGGTTTACGTGAGGGAGAAAGCAGGTAAAAGACGCGTAGTTTCATTGAATTCACATGGGCTATTTGATTTTGAACAATTGAGAGTGAAAAAGGAGGATGAGGACTGGGAGGAAAGGTTTAGAGGCCATACTGATTCTAGGCCATATGGTCCACAGTCCATTAGTTTCGATGTTTCTTTTCATGAGTCTGATTTTGTGTATGGAATACCGGAACATGCTACTAGTTTTGCTCTTAAACCCACTAGGGGACCTGGAGTTGAGGAATCTGAACCATATCGATTGTTTAACTTGGATGTTTTTGAGTATGTGCACGATTCACCTTTTGGGATTTATGGTTCTATTCCGTTCATGGTATCACATGGAAAATCTGGAAAAAGTTCTGGGTTTTTCTGGTTGAATGCTGCGGAGATGCAGATTGATGTATTGGCAAAGGGTTGGGATGCTGACAATGGGATTCTGATGCCCACGGAGCAGAGTCGGATTGATACGTTTTGGATGACCGAGGCTGGGATTGTGGATACGTTCTTTTTTGTTGGACCAGGACCGAAGGATGTTGTCAAGCAGTACATGAGTGTGACAGGTCTCCCAGCAATGCCACAGCTGTTTTCCACGGCATATCATCAATGTAGGTGGAATTACCGTGATGAAGAGGATGTAGAGAATGTGGATTCAAAGTTTGATGAGCATGATATTCCATATGATGTTTTGTGGCTTGATATTGAGCATACTGATGGAAAGAGGTATTTCACATGGGATAAATTGCTATTCCCACATCCAGAAGAGATGCAAAAAAAATTGGTTGCCAAAGGTAGGCATATGGTTACAATCGTGGATCCACATATTAAGAGGGATGACTCATTTGATTTGCACAAGGATGCTTCCCAGAGGGGATATTATGTTAAGGATGCAACTGGTAAGGATTTTGATGGGTGGTGTTGGCCTGGTTCCTCCTCCTACCCAGACGTGTTAAATCCAGAGATTAGGTCATGGTGGGCCGAGAAATTTTCTTATAAGAATTATATTGGTTCAACTCCTTCATTGTACATTTGGAATGACATGAACGAGCCTTCTGTGTTTAATGGACCAGAGGTATGCCTCTTTTGTTAATTCTGTCTTAACTTCTATCTATTCATGATGTTTGTCTTTTTTGTTACTTTCTTATCCTATTTTGCATTACGGGTTATAAAATATCCTTATACTTAACTTTCCTAATTGCTATCCACCTACATGGATCAAACACTGTTAAATTAAGAGGGAGAAGAGGAGAATTAATGTAATTATTATTCAAGGGAAAAGTGTAGAAAGTGGGGAAAAAGTAACGGAGAAAAGGAAGAGGAAGAGAGAATTTCAGCACTTAATCAGAAGGTTGTTTTAATTAAACTAATGAATAAAATTACTACAATGACCCTTATAGGTTAGTATTTTTATTAGATTTTTGTATTTGATGGTCTGTACTCTACAACTGTTATGTACACATTTATGACAAAATTCTGCCCACGTTATTCACTTAATTAGTTATGAAACTTCAGCAAACAATTTGAAAGCAAATGCTTCCCCCTCCCCGATATTTCATACATTAAGTAGCCTAAATCGGGTGATCATTTGGTTTGCTAATAAATTATGTGCTACTACAGCTGGATTGAGTTTAATATACCTTTATTTTTTTAAATAGGAATATGAGGTCTCATTAAAAACCTCCCTCATAGTTGCCTCTTAAGAAGAGGCAATTAGCGGAAGGAGGAAAAGAATACCTCAATATATTAATAACCCAAAATTACATAAGACTATAATTACAACATCACCCGAAATAAGAGACCAAACATAACCACAAAAACACTAAGATCATTCAACCTATCCCCTCCTTAGCTAACTTGTCTGTCTCCCAATTACAAGCCCTAGGGACCAGCTTAACCATAATGTCCTTAGCCGAAATTAAATCCCCAATTTCCCCAACCAAAGAACAGAAAAATGAAGGGGTAACAAAAGGCCTCAAAATCCAATCCACTGCTGTTTTACAATCACTCTCTAGAATCAGACTTCCCTTCAACACCCAATCCGAATTAAGAAACCAATCAATGCCTTCTTTAATAGCTTTCAACTCAGCAAACAAAGGAGGACCTGGTCCCACAGCCTTAGAAAAAGAGATCAAGATAGAGCCGTTCGAATCTTTCAACAAACCTCCAATACCACCCTGCAAACCATCACCTCTAACCGCCCCATCCACATTGAATTTATAAAAATCAGGTGGAGGTGGAAACCAACACTGTTCCTTCTTCTTCTTGTGAGATTTAACTACTAATCTGTCTGCAAGCCGAGAATCCCCTATTAACAAATCAACCTGGATATTAGCCTTAGGAAATTTAGCTAAGAACCATTTGGCCAGCCTGAATCTGCAAATGAAGAACAGTGTAGAGCTCTCAAAAATCCAGTTTTCGAAAACCACTAAATTCCTAGCCTTCCATAGCGACCACAGAACAACACCCGGGATAAAATTCCAAATAGAAGAAGGATCCTTTAAAACAAACCAAGAACAAAGTAAAGACATAGGATCTTTGGGCAAAACAGTAGAAACATCCCATAACATGATGAACCTATTCCACAACTCCCAAGCAACATGACATAAAATGAAAAGATGTTGAATTGTTTCTTCCTCCTTTTTGCATGAAGGACATAATAAATCTTCCATGGGAACACCTCTTTTCTGCAACTCCACTCTAACAGCTAATTTTTGATGAGATAGTTGCCATAGAAATGTTTCAACTTTCGGAGGAGCCAATCCAGCCCATACCCATTTGTTCCACTGAAAATTCCCTCCAGAACTACGTGTAAGTGTTGATCTGCAGGCCTTAACTGAGAACAAACCATCTCCATTCCCTGACCAAGTTAGAAAATCATCAACTGAATCAATCAAAACAATATTATCAATCAATGTCATTAGAGAAATTGTATTTAACATGTCATTGTTAGGTGTTTAGTGAGAGAAGCTCCTCCTTCTCTCTAAAAATCAGGTGTTTTAGTTAAGTTTTTATGTTTTCATTCCTTTTCATTTCTCTTGATGGCAAGGTGAGAGTTCAGGTTGGGAAAAATTGTGTCACAGTGATCATTTTCAACATTCCAGAGAGTTTTCATTACCAAGGTCTTTGGATATTTTTCGATAAATATGGCGAGGTGGTGGATTCTTTCATCCCTAATAAAAGAAGCAAGGGAGGAAGTAGGTTTGGTTTTGTTCGTTTCACCAGAATGGAGGATGCGAGGAAGGTTATCAACTGTGTTGATAGATCTTGGATTCAAGGTAACAAAATTAGAGTCTTCATGGCGAGATATCATCCTCGTGATGTTTTCTGGAGGAAGAAGTTCTCTGGTCCTTTTTCAGTCGAGGGAAACAGTGTAATGAAGGATGTTAGTAATTCGGAAGCTCCCATTGGTGGTTCTGTTGACGACAGTAAGCTCTCAACTCTCAAAAACAACTTGGTAGGATGGTGCAGAATTTTTATTAAGTGGGTAGAGTCGTCTTCTTTTGATGAGGAAGTTGCATCCTCGTTATCCAAGGTGAGGGAGCTCGTTGGTGTCTCTCCAGTTAAATTTCCAGAGCTGAAAGGGGGTTCTGAAGAAGCAGGAAGATCCATGCACTCTCCAGAGGTGCAGTCGGCCGAGAGGTGTTATGAGAATGAAGACAATTTTCTCTACTGTTTGGGGACTAGTGCTAGAGGCAGCCTCTTGTCGGGTGAGGGTGTGGAGGACAGGAACTTAGGCGAGGCATTGATGATGGGCCCGAGGAGTGCCGTTGTGGGTCAGAGGATGGTTCTTTCGCAAATTGAGGGAGTGGGGGAACACGAGACTTTGCTGGTGCATGAGGAGAGAGCAGTGGATGTCTCTAAGGACACTTGCTTGCCTGCACGTGGTTATGAGGGGAGTAAGGATTTTTTAATTAATTCTCCCATCCTGGATGGTCTCTTAGTGTCAAGAGAATTGGGAAATGTGAGCCTAAAGGATAAAGTGGATCTGTTGGTTCACGTGGAGAGGGAGAAAGAAGTTGCCTTTAGGAAAAGTAGTGAGCCTGCATGTGCTTTTGTTGGCTCAAAGGATTATTTTAATGATTTCCCCATGTTAGATGGTCGGGTTGAGTCAAGGGAGGTGAAGGATGGGATACACGAGGGCTTTTCTTACAACTGCGCATTCATAAATCCAAAGGGTAACGCAAGGCAGTACATGAGACCTAAGGTGGGTTCTGGCAACAAATATAGATCTAAACAATTTTTTCAAGGGAATTTTACAGCTCCCAAAAGAAAGTATAGGGGTTACCGAAGCAAGAGCCATCAGAGTAAGGTGCATTGGGAGGAAGAGGTGGCTGTTATTGATGACAGATTCATATATGAATCTGATTTTCCAGCATTGGGGCAGTCTCTACAGAAGGATTCGATCAATTCCTTGCCTTTTGGAAAAAATTTGGGTTGTGAGTCTAATGGCTCAGTAGTGTATCTGTTGTCGGAAGACTTTGGCGGGGGAAGGAGTAGAAGTTTCAGGTGATCTGCACCATGCTTTTTGTTTGGAGCTGGAAGTTCGGATGGTCTTAGCCGACCAGACGAGTTGACGTGGTGGAAAGGCGGCTATGTGCGTGTTTTTTTTGTATTCTTATCATGTGATAGCTCCGTGGCTTTTGAGTTAGAAGTTGGCTTATATGGTTTTAGTTAGCTGTCACCCTTGGCTTTTAGTATGGTTGTTTTGTTTGATTGAGAGTCTATCGGGCCACGTTTAGGTGTTTTTTAGGCTGTTGTTGTTGGTTTGTTGGATTAGGCTGGTTCTGGTAGGATTGTTTGTGGCTGCTTTTGGTGTTTTGTTTATATTGGGGGTGGCTTCCTGGTTGTATCGTGTTCTTTCTATGGTTAATAAAATCCTAAGGAACTCTTTTCCTCCTTCCGCTGATTAAGGAGCTTCCCTATAAGCTCCTTTAATCATGAAGGAGGTTTTTAACGATGCCTTCAATTCCTATAAAAAAAATGTCATTAGAGAAATTCATTGTTCCAATTCTCAGTCGCATAAATTCCTCCTTAATCGAATATTCCAAACCCATCAATTGTTTTCATAGCAACCAAAGTCCGCAACAATTCCCCTTTTATTAATCGATAAGGCATAAATCCTAGGAAATTGTTCTTTTAAAGTAATATTATTAACCCAAACATCATTCCAGAATTCAGTTGATCTACCATTCCCCATTTGAATCTTTGAATTTAACCTCAAACAATTCCCAATATCATCCTTTTTCTCATAATTGTTCAAAATTCCTCTCCATATCCATGAATCACGAGGATTAGCAACCTTATTGATTGATAGAGATAAGTTACTGATGTTGTGCTTGCAACATATCATCTTCTTCCATTGTGAATCTTTCTCATTTGCAAACTTCCAAACCCACTTCCCAAGTAGCATTCTATTGGTCATAGACAAGTCCAGAACTCCCAAGCCATCCTCCTCGTAAGGTTGACACACCATTTTCCAATTTACCCAATGAATCCGTTTCTTCATAGGACCATCCCCCAAAGGAATTTAGCCATCAAAGAATTTAACTTATGATTTATCTTTGAAGGGATTTTAAAAATCGAAAGGTAAAAAATAGGCAAGGACGACAAAATAGACTTCACCAACACTAATCTCCCTGCCATCAATAATGATGTAGCTTTCCAGCCTGCTAATTTGCTGTTGAACTTCTGCAGTGTTGGTTCCCACAACAGTTATGTATTTCCGTTAGTACCAATCGGTAAACCAAGGTATGTCATAGGAAAAGCCCCCACACAACAGCCTGCACTATAAGCCCATTCCTTTAGGACATCCACATCCAAATTAACACCAAACAACTTCCTTTTGGATAAATTAAGATGGAGGCCTGACATTAAACTGAAAACCCTCAATACTCTCCTAATATTCAGAATCTGAGTAGGAGAATCTCTGCAAAATAGTATTAAGTTATCTGCGAACTGTAAGTGCGTCAAATGAAACAAGTTATCCTCCCTACCAACACTGAACCCTTCAAACAGAGCACAATCAACAGCCTTAATCAACATTAAATTCAGTAGTTCCCCAACAATATTAAACAACAGAAGAGACAGACTGCAACCTTGTCTCAACCCTTTCCCCATCTTGAATTCATTAGTCGGAGAACCATTGACTAGAACGGAGATAAAGGCAGAGGAAATGCACAAATCTATCCATGAAATCCACCTATCTCCAAAACCCATAATTCTGAGAAGTCTCAACAAGATAGGCCATTCCACCGAATTATAAGCTCTTCGAAAATCAACCTTGAAAACAACACCTTTTCTCCCTTTTTTTCTCCAATAATCTATAACTTCATTAGCCAAAAAGGCACAATCCAGCAGCTGCCTTCCAGGAATGAAGGCAAACTGTGTTGGACTAACTAAATCTTTAATAACAGACACAAGCCTTCTAGATAGGACTTTGGAAAAACCGCCTCCCACACTTTCTATTCTGAGAATTTAACTTCAAGAACCTTCTTTTGATCGTCTGTCAGTTTAGCAAAATTCAAATCAATTTCATCCACCTCTAGAGTTGATTTCGAATTATAGTTGTCCTTGAAATAATAAAAAACGAAGCCTCTCAACTGTTCCGGGTCTGAAATAACATCCTCTGCTACCTTCAATGATGAAATGGTGTTAATTCTATTCCTATTTAGTGCACACAGGTGAAAAAACTTTGTGTTTCTATCCCCCTCAATACTCCATTTCACTCTAGACCTCTGTAACCAAATACTCTCCTCCTTCCTATGCAAATTCCACAGCTCCTTCCTCGAAAAAACAAGCAGTTCCCTTTCTTGAGAAGAAATCCCCCCTCCCTGTATCTTGAGTTCCAGGACATTAATTTTGGCTTCTAATTCTGTAATATCATCAGAGAGTCCCCTATGATTATTCCTTGGCTGAGATTAGTAATGAATTGGTTGTATGTAGCATCATTAGCTGAGATGCCATCTTGCTTTTATTTGGTGCATTAGACAAAAAAGGAAAAGACTTTACCCGCTATTGTAAGTGGCAATGATCATAGCTGGAACCTATTATTGGAGAAAACTTGTAAATTATAAGAATGCACATTCTCAGATTCTTTTGTCCTTCTCTCGTTATTGGGAAAGTTTTCCTGTTTATGCATGATACGCACTTTTACATATACTTTAAACTAGATTAGAGATGGTAATAAGTGGGCATGTTCTCTGTAGATAAGAGTTCTTAAAATTGTACCATGATTTCTAACTATTTTTTATCTGATTTAGCTGTAGTTCTTTAAGTTGGATGTTTATGTTTGAGGATGTTCATGCATAGATGTCATGTGAAAACAATTCTCTAATGATTTTGTTCTTTAGTTAACATCTCTTTCTGTATAATTTTGTTGTTTAGATAGTAAAGTCATAGTTGGCCAGCGATCATAAAAGTTTCAGATTTTCTGAACTAAGTACAGCGAAATATTTCCTCTGTTCATCCAATGTTCAGAAAAAAAAGCATGTTTCCGATCATGCCACATTTCTTATTAATAACTTGAAAACTGCATTTCTATGGAGATGAAGGTGAAATTATTTTTGAGTATTTTTTGTTTATGGTGCCTATACTTCAAAAACCATGGAAAATCTGTTGAAACTTTTGATCATGCCTTATTCTTATATATAGATGTGTGTGTGCACTCTCATAAAAATTTGCATAGGACAGACAAATTTGACTAAACTTTTTCTGTGGTAGGTGACAATGCCCAGAGATGCTTTACATCTTGGTGGAGTGGAACATCGGGAGTTACATAATGCCTATGGATATTACTTCCACATGGCAACAGCTGATGGCCTTGTAAAGCGAGGAGATGGTAAGGACAGACCTTTTGTTTTGTCCAGAGCATTCTTTGCTGGAAGTCAAAGGTATGGAGCAGTCTGGACTGGTGATAATTCTGCAGATTGGGATCACCTCAGGGTTTCAGTCCCGATGATTTTGAGTCTTGGTCTTACTGGGATGTCATTCTCTGGTATGCATGCTGTTAAAAGAAAAAGAAGTTAAAAGTAGTGCTCTTTTCCCTTTTTGATTTTTGACAAACTTTTACAGGTGCCGATGTTGGTGGATTTTTTGGCAATCCTGATCCCGAGTTATTAGTGCGTTGGTATCAACTTGGTGCTTACTATCCTTTCTTTAGAGGTCATGCCCATCATGATACAAAAAGACGAGAGCCATGGTTGTTCGGGTATGATATCTTTAACATATGTAATTCTACTTTCTGCATCTTGATGGATTAGTATTCAATTTGAGCACATTCATTGTATATAAGATCATTAACACGTAAAACAAGTTCATGAGAAGCTCTTTTCTTCACCGAATTTGTATTAATCTCACTTAGGAACATTCTGGTGTTCTCATTTTCAGCTGTATCTCATTCCATACAGCTAAGTGCTCCTAATTTTTTTTCTCTCCATATTGTATTGCATTGAAAAGTAAGCTCTACTTTATTGTTTGTATATCTGTCATTTGTCTCCAGAGAGAGCATGTGAATTGAATTCTGATCGGCAGATATACATTGTATTTGGGGCTCATGATCCTTTTGAACCTCTGAGAAATATGCAATTGCCTTCATTGTTTTTAAAGATATTCTTGGGAGAAGTGTTTTGGTTGATCCCTGTAAATTTTATTACGAGGCTTCCAACCCAAAAAAACCTTCATATAGGTGGAGAGGCCCCTTTATCTTAGAACCTGTGATAAATCATTATAACTGATATGGTATTTGTTCTCCCATCATTTCCCGCCGCACATCTAGGACTTATAAACCATCACATGGCATGTACTTTTTGTGTAGGTGGGTTCATTTTAGCTCCACATTAATAAGCTTTAGGTATGAATCACATGGCATGTACTTTTTGTGTAGGTGGGTTCATTTTAGCTCCACATTAATAAGCTTTAGGTATGAATGTGTTAGTATGAATTAAAATATATTAGTACTTTAGAATGTGTTAGTATTTTAGATTTAATTGCTGTGTCAGCAACAAAATTTTTGGTTTACTGTTTCTAATCAGTATTTTAATTCCTCTTCCTCCTATGAAGTTGTGGTTGTATGAATTAAAATGTACTTCGGTGTAATGTTTTCATGGGAAGGTTTAAAAAAATAAAAGCTTGATATTGTTTTTATACACTATCACTAAATTTGGTATGTATTTTTCTGATCTTCATAGTAATGAGGTCTATCTTATTTCAGTGAACGAAATACTGCACTTATGAGAGATGCCATACGTATTCGTTACACCTTGCTTCCATACTTTTACACGTTATTCAGAGAAGCAAATGTTAGTGGTGTTCCTGTTGTACGTCCATTATGGATGGAGTTCCCATCTGACGAAGCAGCTTTCAGCAATGATGAAGCTTTCATGGTTGGCAACAGTCTTTTGGTACAAGGGATCTATGAGACAGTACTACTCTTAACCGGATCATCTATCTTTTCTGTTTCTTATTTTCTCTGTTGCTTTTATTATCTTCATAGCCTGTGAATAATTGAAATCTCATGTATTTTCTTTTATATAGAGGGCTAAACATGCGTCGATATATTTGCCTGGGAAGGAATCGTGGTATGACCTTAGAACAGGAACTTCATACAAGGGAGGAAAGACCCATAAGCTTGAAGTTTCAGAAGATAGCATTCCTGCTTTTCAAAGAGCCGGCACTATTGTACCAAGAAAAGACCGGCTCCGTAGAAGCTCCACACAGATGATGCTTGATCCCTTTACACTGGTACGTGATTGACACTGATTCGCCCTTTTAGTCTTCTCATATATATTCACTAGTGTAAACTACTGGCAGATATATTCTTATAAATATATCTATTAAAGCACATAAAGGCCCCTTCTTGAGATCTGCATTTGATTAGGCGTGAGCCTCTGACATCACTTTGTCTGTTTAGGTGATCGCTCTGAACAGTTCCCAGGAAGCTGAAGGTGAACTCTACCTTGATGATGGAAAAAGCTTTGACTTCAAACATGGGGCATACATCCATCGCCGCTTTGTATTCTCAAATGGGCATCTAACATCCTCGAATATGGCACCCTCTCCCCCTGGCAACTCCAAATTTTCTTCCGACTGCTTCGTCGAGCGGATTATTCTTCTTGGATATACCCCTGGGGCCAAAACTGCTCTTGTTGAACCAGAAAACCAGAAGGCCGAAATTGAACTTGGTCCACTTCGTTTCGGGGAACAACATGGTGCTGCTGCTGTAACCATCCGGAAGCCTGGTGTGAGGGTTGCAGAAGATTGGAAGATAAAATTTTTGTAAGATATTCATTTAGTTTGATGAATATGTAATGTTAAGCTCTCCTTGTAGGTGTTATTCTTGAGTTTTTAGCCTACGGTAAAGAAAACTGAGAAGCGACATTTCCTACGTGCAATTTACTTGATAATTTCATAATGGGAAGACTGATTTTTTTGGCGCCCATACTTTGATAAATTTTACAATTATACAGTCCTTCACATGGTTCGGAGTAAGGATGTAATAGACATTTTCATTGGTCTCAGAATAGTACACATTATTTATATATAAAGACAATAAATTACATGTGGTAAAAATAAAAATTTACAGAGTAATCCCCTTCCTGGTTTGTGGGTTCTACATAATACCTAAGATTGAAAATATAAGGATAAAGAGATTTATTTTGTAGTTTAAATATAAGATCTGAACATAGGAAGATGATCACAATTTGCAGGGCTCCATCCTATCACTTGTTTCTCATTGTCATATATCACCATTCTGTCTTGCATCGATATGTCTGTTTAAATCACAAAGGATGAATTAAAATCACACTCGAGCTCGAATCAATCGGATCGAGAAATCAAATATTAACTCTTACCTCCAACGACATTCAGGTTTTGCAGCCCTACTTGTGTTCCATTAAGGATTCCCAAGCAAGCATTTCCCTTGTTCTGTCATAACATTATTTGTGTTTCAGTATGTAACAGAAAGAGAGACAAAGAAAGATATATATATATATCTGTTTAGTGCTCACTGATATTATAAGATAAGCTTCAGGGTGCAATTCAAACGGGGCTTTTCTTCTGCCACTATTTGTAAAGGCCAGAGACAGTACGGTCTTGAAGTATTTCTTGGCATCGTGCACACTCCGGAAAGGCTTCCGACCTTTCCAACATAACGGGAGTGTCTGGTCCTCTGGAGCTTCCTTTAGCGACCTTCCGCTTAGTTCTTTCTTCAACTAATACATATAAGATTGAACTTTAGAAAAGCTTCATGAAAAAGAACCACATACTTGGTTTCTAAGTAACTTCAGAAGTTGTCCCGGAACTTACCAACTCTGTTAATGCTTGGTAAGCCTGAGAATTAAGGTAAGTGTAAGAGCTCCCGCTGTCGAATATTACGATGAGATTTTTAATGCCGGTAGCTTTCCCACCGAAATGTAGCTCTGCGCTTCCTGGGGAGTAGTATTTTCTGCCACAAGTAACAAGCAGAAGACTTGCTATCAGGACTTGAAAGCAATCAATTATAATCAAGTTTAACCATCAGGAACCAAAATGGACTTAATTACGTAAACTCCTGTGACATTGGTGTCCAAGTCACATGTGAGGAATCATAGAGACCATCCCCGAAGAAAAGAAATCCGCCGCCTATTCCACTAAGACAGTGGCCAACGACATTCCGCACCAAACCCTGTCTCTGAAGCTGTGACACAATGCTGGATTTTCCCCTTCCGAGGCCAAGTATTCCATCCAAGGGATGATTAGATGTGCCCGGAATTTGATCGTATCCGCAACTGCACACAAGGAACCGAAAGGCATAACGTTTAAGGGTGTGTTGAGAACTCATCAAAGGATTAGATCTGCTAGTAAACTTCTACTAAAAGCAATGAAAAACAAACAGCAGGGATTGTTTATAAGCACCTTTGGAGCAAAAGAACTACTTTATATGGTAGATGTTATGTAAACCAAATTCACACAGATTCTATTTTGATTTCATGATATGCATCAAAGGAATTTTTTCACAAAAGGAACGAAAAGTGTTTCTAGTTAAAGTTTCAGTCGTTTCGTTCCATCTCGTCCCTGACCTGCACATACTCCCACTCTCTCCAAGTTCATTGTGCAACTAAAAGATCAGAACAAGATTGTTACTGATATATAATATATTGAAGATGATTTTGGCCAAAAGTACTAACCCAAGGGCCAGACGAGGACTGAGTCGGATTCCATTTGTATAGTTTAAAGAAAACGTGTCTCGGACAAGGACTCCGAGGGATGAACCACCATCTGCATACTCAACCTCATAGTCACATTGATCAGGGCTTTCACATTTGTAGTCACCAGGTGGATGCAACGCTGAACAAAGCTGATCTTTACATGCCACTAGGTCATTGGTGGGTTGGTAAAGCGGATGAGGTGCCTGTAAAGACAATGACGAAAACATTCAACAATAATTTCTACCGGTACAGACAAATCCGAGCGTCTACAACAATCACGAAAACCAGCAGATTCAACAAGGAAAAGGGACAACTGAAAGAGTTCGGATAACACAACATTGAAGCAAGAAGCCATAGGATTACAATAATCAATCAGGCTAAAATTTAGAAGTATGTAGCATCTGCTGCAAATAATTAGATTGATTAGTCAGTTTCACAAACAAGCTGCTGGTTATCTAAATACATATACATGTGCATATACAAATATACTTTGCATTAATAATTTCACCTCGATACAATGGACGCATGGAGCATTGCATTGGAGCCATGTGAGGTCACTTCCAGTATCAAGATCAAGAAAGTAGGGCTTGGGAGGATGGCCTATATTGATGGTAACATTATAGTACCTGCACCAGAGAACAAAACTCCATGATTTCATCAATATGTACAGGATCATTTGTGAGCACATAGACATAAAATCCCCTATATGCATAGAACAGGTTCCAGATGAACTTTTGCTCGAGGAGTCAATTTTGACCCAAAAAACGAAAAATATAAAGGAAGCCATTGATTTGCTGGGCTTACCCTGCTGGATACACATTTCCATGAATAGGAAACAAGATGGAGGACCCAACTCTATTCATCATCATAGAAGAAGAAGAAGAGCCATTGTAAGTTGAAATCATTGCTTTCCTCCATCTCTGATCAGAAGCCGAAGAGAGAGTGAAGAACAGTAACAAGATAAAAACATTCACTTGCCCTTTTCTCATTTTATTATCTCTCTCTCTCTCTAGCTACCCAGGAGGAGGAACTTTCAGTTGACTATTTACTGTTATAAAGAGATTGTCTGGAAGAAACAAACAAGGTGAAAACTTTGGTTTTGTGTGTTCATTATATATATGTAGGCGTTGATTGATTGGTGGAAATATTGGTTATATAATGTGGAGAATACAGTAAAGGGTGTTTTGCTTGGAGATGAACAATTCATGGGAATTGCTTGGTTCTTCAAATTTCTCGTTTATGGTGTTTCTGTTGTTGTGTTGCCATAAGGTTCTTTGACTCATCGCCTGTCCTTCGCTTTCCTCTACGATGGGAGAATTGCAAAGTGGGAATTCCTTATATTCCAGAGGAAATATAAATTTACCGATTATATATATAATTCTTATTCATGATCAGTAAAATAAAAATATAGTTGAAAAAATTTCTGTAGAATTGTAATAATTATCTCTAAATATATAAAAAAATAATTATATTAATATCTCAAGTTAAAAAAATTTAATTCTAAATTTAAACTTGACTTGATCTAATTTTATCTTTTAAAATAAAATATCTTGACTTAATTAATTCGATCTTAATTTTTTTTAAATATAATCTTGAAGTAAGAACCCATGAGACTCAGATCTCATATGCTTCTTAAGATAAAATGAAAATTTAAGAGAATAAATAAATGAAAACTAATTTAAAAGGCATAACCGTAAAGTGTTGATAAAGAAAGCATGTTATTATTCAATTATTTATTTATTTTTTTGAAAAAGGTAATTGCTTAGAAACTTCCTTTAGAATCAGAAAATGGTCCGTATTTCTAAGTGCCAAAATCCTGGGTTTCCTTTCATGTCTGCACTCAGTTTATGATTCTTTCTTATTTTAAAGGTTTTATAGTTTATAAATGAGTGAAAGGTATTGCTTATAGGTTTTCTTTTTTAAGTATAAATATTTAAAAATATATATTTTTTATTTAAATATTTAATAATAATGCTAGTAAAAGTTTCAGCACAAATCTGATAACACCTTAGCAGAATATTAATTAAATGTCAATTAAGAAAACCTTAAACTGCCTAAGAACAAATGGATATACAGTTCCTGTGAATTACATGAAGAGATAATGCCAGTAATAAGTATAATGATTTCATTATTTTCATAAACACCACTAGATCCATAAATCAAGTGTTACTCTTCCGTTTTGATCAACTTCACAACTACTACAGATAAACAACTATACAAACCTGACATGCGAGAACCAGTTCCACATATCTCAATCAGTTGTCTAAGAGTATCATCACAGCCACCAATGCAACCTGAGCATAGATAAGAAGACTTCAGCAATTACTCACTACAAAGAAACAGCTTTAGATATGAATATTGGTTGGATCCAAGTAAGAATACATGTTTATGCACAAGCTGTAGATAAAATGTTGACACGTTGAGTGACGATTATCAAAATACTGTCTGTGCACACTGCTTTTCTCATGATTGGGATCTACATTCTTACCAAGATGATTCGCATTGAAGCCAGGTGGTATTTCAATCTGACGAAACTTAAACTGAATCAAATAAACAGGACCTAACAAAAAAGGCAAAAGTTCATGATTAAAATGTATATCTCGAACACAAATTTGGATGAACACACTGCTAAAAAGCATGGAGAATACAATGCATGTCAATGCATACTTTAAAAAGGTGGCACGTTTTATATAGAACAAGCGCAATCTGTTTAGAATTGCTCTGCATTATGCTATGCTTTTAAAACTATTCGTATGGCAATGAAGCTGAACTTTGTCATAGAACTATGAAGACAACTTGGAATTGTCACATCTAGCTTATAGCTCTCAACCTATAATTATGCATTGCAATGAATATGTGTCCTAAATCTTCACTGATCCTGAACAATCTAAACAAAGTTTGCATATACAATCACTGCCAGCTAAACTTGAAAAAAATAAGATCACATACCAGGATTGCAGGAGCTGCAAATATTACTGGTTACTGCAGCTTCTAGTATAGATCCAGGGAGCCAAATAGCATTCCTACACTGATGAGAGCATACCGAAGTTATTACAAAGTTGCATATAACCCAGAAAAATAGCAAATTTTCACGTTAGCCTTGTAAATCCACATCTATCAGGATTGAGTTTCGGTTAATGTTTCAAATTACACCAACCGATATTTGCAGCTTTTATTGACTTGTAATTTTGACACACAATAAATCCAGGAACTGACCTGTGGAAAACCCGAGCATCCAACCATGAAATTGCCCTCCTGTTGAAAAGAAGTACAAGGGTTCATAAGAAAATGAATACCTCATCTGCCAAAAATCCCGTCAAATGATATGCGTAGAGAAAATATTGCACACAAGGAAAAATCATGAAAGAAAATAATGGCCAGAATAATAATATAATACACCAGCGTAGTTAAGTATAAAATTAATCAGAAAATTATGTACGAAATTAGAAAAGTCAAACTTTAAGAATGCCTATGCCATGTATTTGACTATAAAATATGAATCTTTCCTCTCCAGTGAAATTCACGAAACATCTGTCATGTTACAAATTATCAATTTTTCTGACCACTACTCTTCGTAATAACAACACATCCCAACAATGTACAAGGACAACTACTATTCTAAAGATAATTACTATTTCCTTCATTTCAATAACACTGAATTGAAAGCCTGAACCTATTCCAAATCTAGCCTTTAGGACGCCTTTGCTACTTGTTGCACAACCACTACATTGTTAAACAAAAATTTGCTGATATGGGAACAAATCAAAATTTGCCTGACGGTAGACATACATCTGTGCACTGCAAAGTGCAAACCAGAGGCAATAAATAATCAAAACATAGAATTCCATTTTCATGAAAAAAGACATTGATCCTTGAGAACTTCATCCTGCATGAAGTTTATATTGACACTCTCATTTACCAAAAAGCTCAAGTCGGGATCTAATCAACAACCAAATCTCCATATTATGCACAAGAAATGTTACATCTAGAATACATAAGAGGGAATGGATAACTTGAATTGAGATAACTAGAAGCAAGAACAAAAATACTGCACAGATCAGAAATCTGATAAAGAGCAAGCGCCAAGATACTATAAAATCAAAATTTAAAGCTTAAAAGAGAAAATAATCAGTTTAATCCATACACGGTTTTTCTTCAGCACCATAGAAGATTCTTGGCAAAGATTACACTGCCTAGCCACCTCTCCAGCTGCATAGTTGTCACCCCCAACAGCTCGATTAGATCAGCATAAGTAGTTAGCATTGCATCATGACAATCCTATATTTTCTACTACAATACAAGGTTTTAATGATGAATACCGCTCAAAACAGCCATAGCTTCTAATAGTTTCACTTTGTTCAACCTAGCCTGCATATCATACTCAGCTTGTCAAAATCATAACAGCGATCAAAGTATACATGGACACATCAACCAAACACAGCAGTAATTAAGCAAATCTGTTGAAAACTTAAACAACGAAAATTTGATGGCTGCACTAATTCCAGACACTTTATCTTCTCCCTGGCAAATCAAGCACATTTATCGCATGAGTCCCACCTTACTATACACATGTTAACTGATATTTGCATTACAGAACCCAAAACATGCATCAAACCAAATTTGAGTTCAATATATGCCAGTTTTTATTATTATTATTATTATTTTTAATTCTAAAGCATGTTCATGGATCAAATAATATTTTGTTCCATGTATCAGTTTCATCCATCTGTTATTCAGGTGTAATAAACTTGATAAACAATAAATGGCATGTCAGGAGGGTAGTATCCGACAAGATAATCCCACAAATTGCAAGCAACTTACATCTAAGAAACAAGCTTTCATCTGCTGCAAGCAAATTGCTAAAACTTCATCTTTACTCTTATTGCCTACACCAACTTCTTTCATGTCAAACTCCATCATTGATCTGAGATTTGGTATCCAAAGTTCATACCTGATATCCAATACGAGTGACAAACAAAAATGGGTAACCGAACAAACTAAGAAGCAAGATATTGTTTACAATTCAACCGCATACATGAATAAAGATAACGTGGACATCAACAGAATGGGAAACCACCATACTTACCCCATTTCATCATATCCCATCACTAGTGCTTCGCCCTGAGATTACATAGTCTCATAGTCAGTTCCAATACAATAACTTCCGTCACAAAACTAATATTACAACTTAGTAAGAAACACATTCTATTTTGTATAGGAAACATAAAGGAAATAACAGAACTCTAGGTAATAGGGATGACAAATTGGATATTTGCAGATATTCAATCCATTTTTGTGGATTCGGATGTTAAAATTACTATTTGTTGCGAATTCGGAGTAAACAGATAGACACCTTTGGCTATCCATTATCCAAATTCAACTCCAGATTACAAAATGGAGAATATATTTCCTTCTACGGGGATTCGAACCTTCGTCATCAAACTTTTAGCGAATTTGGATTGATATTTATGCAGATCTAGATATTTGACATATAATTAAAATTTTCAATTCAGTTCTTTTTGCAGATTCAGATATCTAGTGGATAATAATATTTAATTCCGATTTGAATAGTAATACTCGGATAATTTGCGGATAAAACGGATTCGGATTTTTAGGTAGATTTGTGGATTCGGATAATTAAAAAATTGCAGATATCCAACCCACTGTCATTCATAGGTAAGTAAGGTAGTTCTTTAGACTCTTAAGAGTTATGTTTATAGCTAGATTTTCCATGGTTTCGGAACTGAATACTATCTGGGAATCTGCATAAATTTGCAGCCTGCAATGCTGAATAGAAAGTTATCTAGAAAAAAGGTCTACTATGTTTTCATTCTAGACGGCCTTGTGTCCACTGTATTTAAGAGTAAAGAACTATTCTAAAATTCCTATTCTCACAAATCTAAAACCCTTGATTGTACCTTTAAGTATCCAACTGCTCCCCTGGTTCATAAGCAAATATAGTAACAAAATATCCAAAAGTAAATAATATATAATAAAAAGCTAGAGTGAGAAAAGAAAAGGGAAATATATTACAAGATTGGTGGGCGAGAAACGAGTATTTGAGTCCTTTGTTGCATAAAATCGATCTAGAAGCTTTTTAATGTGATCATGCATTGTTGCATCTGTACCAATTCCCGCCTTGCAATACAGAAGAGTGCAAAAAATTAAAATTCAAAACAAATGCTCTTTGAGGAACCATTGCAACCATAATCAAATGAGTCAGACCAAAGCATGTCAGACTCCTCACCTTGTCCATACAACTTAGTAAATCAGCTTCACTCAGAAGGGGTGGTGGTCTAGTAATTCCTGTGTCTAGAGTCAGTGATGTTGGGGTGAACTGAAACATCACAAGGAATTGAAGAAATAAAACAATTCTAGCCTCAAAAATTCAATAGGGTGATGTAGATGCTTATGTCTATTTCAACATCAAACTTGTATCATAAATCATGAAAGTCATAAGATCTAAGAGTTGCAATTATGTTAGTCATCAATAAGAGATTGATGAAAATAAATGAATAAATAAAGAATTAGTCAGATGTTGAAACATTACAAACCTAACATGAGCATCCTGTTCAGAAATAGAAAGAAATAACATGCATGCCCTGACCCTCTTCCACCGAAAGTCATTCCATCTACACGATCGGACTAAAAAAGGCCCTTTATTTCATTTCATTCCCTTTTTCTAACTCCTAATATTTAAGAAACTATATTCTATTAAGATTGTCATTTTGATTCAGCGTTGCTCACCAACAAAAAGAAATATGTGTGTGCCAAAGGCATGATTTAGTAGTTCTACTGCATCGCAAACTTCTAAGCTGACAATTTAATCCTTTTGCTAGAAATAGTCCCTAATTAGGCTGACATGCCATCAAATAGTTGGCAAAAATGGCAATTTGAGAGACAACCCAACATGGAAGAATGTATGAATATACAGGAACACAATAAACAACAATCAACTTCCAATTAAAAAGCTTGAACGGAAACAATGAAAACCTGCTGTCCAACAGTGTAGGTTGGAATCATTGAAGCTCCCCATGATTCATATTGGTAAACATCTAAGTAATTCCCCTGGTCAAAATAGAAAAGCAACTTAGTCAAATCTCAAGATGGTTAACAAATCTAAAGACGTCATGAAGCTTTAGAAGAGCTACAAAACCATCTAAAACCAAAAGATCAATCAGAAACCACAAAACATTCATGCAGTTGAATGAAGCAGCTTCAATATTGTATTACATCTCAAAGAAAATTAGTGCAGGCAAATGAGGGTGGTACATTGTTGATTGACTGGTCAGAGCATAATAAAATGTTTTAATGTTTTATCCTATTCCAAGAGAAGCTGATCTCCATTTGCTACTGATATGGCTTCTGAAATTTTATTTTAATGGACCGAGGGGAAGTAAGATTTTACTAAAATCTTGTCCAACCTTCAAGTTTGAAATGGCAACTTGACTTCATACAGAAATGAAAAACGACTTTCCAATTACAAGTTCCCTTCAGCCACTTGCAGTTTAAACATAATTGGCATTCGTTGATTTGAGGTTCATAAAAGTTATGCATGTCTTATCTTATTTCAACATAAGCTATTTGGTTAAAATCCTATATTTGTAATCATTCAAAATATCACAAATGTTGTACAAGTGATACCAAGCCTAGCTACCAAATCAAAGGATAAATAAATAAACAAATGTCAAGCACTCCAATGCTTTTTAATTCACAAGAAAAGCTCAGTTCAAATAAAAATGAAAATTGGGAATGCTATATAATACTTGCCTCTAATATCATTCTTCCTGATGCAGAAAATAATTCACCAGCAATATCAATTTCAACTATGGTTTCAGCCCCAACAGCTGGTTGAGAAACACAAGCTAAGAAATGGCGAACAACCAGTTCATATAATTTCTGTGATGCAATGGAGGGAAAGGAATTAAATTTTCAAAAAAGGAAAAACAGATGAAACAATAACTATTATTAACCATAATAGACTTGCTTACACGATGGTCTTGACTCCAACCATGTTCCCCAGCAGAAAATTTTGTAGGGTGAATGGGTGGATGAGCCTTGTCGTCATGTCCACCACTGCCAGGGTTTCTCCAAAGTCCTGTCTCCGGGTCTAATAATCTCTGTGCATAAGAACCCCATTCAGGATGCTCCTGCTGCTCTTGCACAATTGCCTACATAAAGTAGAACCCTGCGTGAGTGATAATTTCATTGAATGCACGCCTTTTTCTAGGAAAGCAAAAAGGCAAATAACATAAAAACAGTGTTTAATATGAAATGTAATATAAAAAATGAAACTACATTTCTATGTACGAGCAAGCATTCTCACACATTTTTATTTATTAAGGTGATCCCAATCATAAATCCACTGCCTTTTTTACAAAGGTTGAATGTTAACTATGAGATTTAAGTTCAAAAAATGAGTATTAAACTAGCAAGAAACAAATAAGAAACTGACTTGAATGTACAACGAATGGATTTTTCAATCAGAACAAATAAACAAATCTATAGAAAATAACAGAGATTTCCCAAATATTCCAAATTTCCAATATTTTAGTCGAAAGGAGAAAAATGGTTGAGAAACTCTTGTATATAGCGAAGATAAAATCTAGGAAAATAGCACTCAAGGTCCATTCTCATTGAACCTAATGACATTCAAATGTTATAAAATTCCAGCCATTGCTCATGTAAATAGCGAAGATTCAATCATCAGGAAAATAGCATACAAGTTCTATTCTAACTGAACCTAATGATGCTTCAAATCTTATAAATGTAAAGCTAACACTCATCAAACCTAGAAGAGACAGGCTTAAACTTCACAACCATTAACCTCAATCTGAGATTCTGCTCTAGAAACATTAAAGAGAACCAGCACAAGCTTTAAGAATTTTCCTTATATTAGATAAGAAATTATAATATATACATTTCTATTCCTATATATCCATCTCACTCAACAAATATTCTCGTTCGAGAATTTTCTCAAATGATAGTAGAAAATTAGGTACAGATGCACAAGTCTGAGAAATAAACTTCAGAAAGATTATAGTGCTATTTTAGAATGTAAGATAACAGAAACTGAAGTAGAGAGACGAATACAGTTGTGTTCTATTCATCTGAAACGTGAAGGATTTATACATGTTACAAAGGCTAGAAGGAAAGGAATCAGAAATCAAATCCGTGTAAATCAGTTCTATGACTCCTACACATAAGCTCTGTGAATCAGCATAAGATTATGCACAATCTATTACATAGAAGAAAGGGGGCAGGTTCTAATTTTTAAAGTGTAGAATCCATTTGAAGGGGAGGAAAAATACTAGTAATCCAAGTTGAAAAAAGACCCAACTTTATCAAGAAAGCTTAAGTATTAAAGTTGACCATGAGACCTAACAAAAGATTGTATTTTATGTTAGTGTAAATTACTAACACAAGCTGAGACAATAATATTTTCAAGAAGAAACAGTTACCAACATGCAAATCAGTCCTCCTTGAAAAGCAATCAGTCTCTGTACGAGGATAACCGATAAAACCAGCTTGGTATAGCTCTTCTGCCACCTATGAACAAAAAAATGAAAGTAACACAGTGAATTGAGCCCTGTTAAGTGACCAATATATGATTATCTCCACCATCAGTTAAAGAAATTCAAGGACAGTTTTCAAGGGGTAGTATTTTTTATGAATGGTATTGCAAAATTATAACATTTAATGTTAGATAAAAGAAAAGCAAATCATAGGCATCAATCAATTAAAACAGCCAATAGAAAAGAAAAATAAAGAAATTTTGCTTGCAATGAGTTACTATAATATACTTCCTCCAATTTTCTCCCCCACTTTGCCCACTTTTCACCCTCTCTAATTGGGAATTACATCGTAAAACTCAAAAAAATGTATATTAGGAGGGGAAGGAGTACATAACATTGAGCAAACTGCTACATATCATCTATATAAGCAACAATAAGTCATCTATCAAGAAACGTAAGCTATGCAGTCCATTTCATCAACATTTTATTTTGCGGAAAAAAGGGTGAAAAAAATATGAGTTGCAACATAGACATACACTACCTTTTAGAAGAGAAACATACGCAGGCAAAGAAGCCTGAATTCTAATCATTCATTTTGCATTATTATCTCATCTCCAAGGACATATTTTGAAACCTTAAAAATAGGTAAACAAACAACACCACCTCTCCGGCCAAAAAAAACAACAATAAAGTCACCTCAGGTAACTCATTGTTCTAATTTAAATGACATGGCCCAATAAAGAGGACACTTTGCATTTAAAAGAGGTAAAGAAAAAGGGTATAAAAAAGGAAAACTGGATATTAAGTTAAAAACATAGGGAACGAGAGACTAACTCGGTGAACAATAAATTCCAAGAGTAGGGACAGATTTGGCAGGGGTTGGCTTGCCAAGTAATACATGTAGCAGGACATAGGCTCACATTCTTTGATGGATTTCTTTAAAATTATGGGCTAAAATTTCCATGTATTGGTTTCCACTCTCTACTTCAAAGCAACTAAAGGTCCGAGTAAATGTTAACGGTTTCAATTTTCATTCTTTTTTCTTTTCCTTATTTTTCAACATAAAAATATATAAAACATGCAGATTTGAAAGAATTGTTCTAGTAAGCCTTTCTAATTAACATCTCAATTCCAGTTGGTGCGCAAAGGCACGGATCAACTAAGTTTGAAACATGTATATTTCCAACTCACCTTCATAGTGTGTTCAGAACTCATACGTATCGTGAAGCACGCTTTTCAAGCTCAATGGTACTCAAAGGATATGGAGGATGCTTAAGCTTTTCTTGGTGTTGAACTTTTGTGACCTATAAGACAAGTGAACAAAAATTATTATCATTCAGTAAGAGTTGCTTCTATGATCAGGAGTTGGAATTGTTCTCCAATACTTGGTTTGGTACAACTCACAGTAGCATTTGGATCTTGAACACACATTTCATAAACTATAACTGCACAAGAGTAATCAAAGAGATGACCATGCCTGCAAATTCAGAATGCTATTAACTTTACCCTTATGACTGCTTGAACGAAGGGAAAGAAACTTAAAATTATAGAAAAAATAAACATATGACAAGCCAAACAACCACAGAGCTTTCCAGCTTACATCCAATTGAAGGTAGCAACACCTTCATCCGATTTGTGAGAACAGTTGATTGTCCAAAATTCTTCGGGCTCATGTGACTGTACTTCCCAATAACTTTCCACAACAAAGCCAAGTGTAGGGAACTGCATTGTTAAAAGATATAAGACACGACTGTAAATAAAATATACACCCCTGATGTTGCCAATTCTCACCGTACCTGACAAGGACCATAACTTAGAACAAGATTTCTGTCATTTGTAGCAGAAGCAATAACGAATTTATCTCTCAACAGCATAGTCTGAAATCTGGTGAAGGAAGCTCCAATTCGAAGATCTATTTCCTGATAAATTTGTCAACATTAACTATTTTCTTGGTAGATATTAGCTTGACAAATACTAAAAATGACAGAAGTAAGACGACATAGAATATACTTAAACATTCATTGCAAAACCAATTGGCAACATATGGAGACCTAACTTGTATTCTCCCCAAACTTAACTGACATTAAACAACACTACTCAGCACCTATGTTACAGAGACACGGTTGTAAGGGCCAAGCATGGGCGTGTTCAATATTTTCAAAATTTCATGTATTTGGAGAGTTCTTGGAGGATCAATCCTCATTTCTATGTCCAGATAGAAGTCGTATACAGATGTCAAACACAAGTACTTCAAAAAAAAAAGTATTGGGAAAACATAGCTCAGCACTCCCCCTCAATTTAGCCCCAATGGAAAAACAGCAACAAACAGACCTACCATTCAAACAACTAATACAAGGCAATGTAAAAAACATAGCATAATCACATAGGAAACAAATAATTATTTCATGTTAAACTTCCAAAATTAAACCTATTGATAATTGGCAGTGGCTTAACTTAAAAGGACGATGAGAACAAGCCTCAATATGAGATTTTTTTTTTTTGATAAGAATGACAGGCCTCCTTAAAAACCTCCTTCTTGATCAAAGAAGGAGGAAAAGAGTGCCTTAGAAACTTTATTACTCCTCCGAAATTACATAAGATTTAACGTAGACACCATACTGAAAAAACACAACAGACTAAGCTACTCAACATAACCGAAAACCTAAACTCAAACGATAAAACGCACTGGAAACGACTAAACATCAACCAATTCCCATCTTTGCTAAACTATCAGCCTCCCCATTACACACCCTTGGAATCAGTCTAATAGAGTGCACCCTGTCCGTGATAAAAGATGAAATCTCTTTAACTAATGGGAGGATAAAAACTGGGGCCATAGCTGGTGTATGGACCCATTCCACAGCCGACTTACAGTCACTTTCCACAATCAACCTTCCAACCTTAACCCAACAAGAAGACATATAGATTTCAATGCCTCTCTTAATAGCCTTTAACTCAGCAACCGGCGGGGGACCCTGACCTACATTTTCTGAAAAAGTCAGAAGGGAGTTGCTATTCCAATCTCTCAAAATACCTCCTATACCTCCATTTGAGCCATCAAGTCTAACAGCTCCATCGACATTCATCTTCAAAAATCCATAGGGGGTGGAATCCAGCGAGAAACCTGAAAATTGTAAATGTTGAGAGCTTTAATACCATCTGCAAGAGATGGATCACCAATCAGCACATCCTCCTGAATAGGACACTTAGGATACTTGGCTAGAAACCATTTAGATAACCTGAATCTAGCAATAAAAAACAGAGACATCCTATCCAAGGGGGAACCATCGAACACCATTGCATTCCTAGCTTTCCATATCGACCAAAATACTACTCCCGGGATAAATTTCCAAATCAACGATTTCCCCCTCAGCTCACCCCAAGAACATAGCAAAGAAGGTGGATCCTTTGGAAGGACTAAGGCTATTTCCCAATAGCTTGCTATCTTGTTCCAAAGTTCCCAAACAACATCACATGAAATAAATAAATGCTGAACTGATTCCACCTGTTTTTTACAAAACGGACATAAAATTTCATCCCCTAGCTGCAAACCTCTTTTCACCAACTCCTCTCTCACTGCCACTTTCTGATGAGCTAGCTGCCACAGGAAGACTTCAACACGAGGAGGAGATAAACCCTGCCACACCCCTTTTACCCATAAATCGGACTCCCCAGACACCTTGCCGAGTTCCTTTCTACAAGATTTCACTGAAAACAGTCCATCCCCACTTGCAGACCAAGAAAGAAAGTCTTCAACTGAATCAGTCAGTTTAAAGTCCTTCAGTTTTGTCATTAAATCCAGCCACTGATCCAACTCCCAGTCACACAAATTCCTTCTGGTATCGATGTTCCACACCCAACCGTTCGAATCTGAACTTCCAAACTCAGCGACCATACCCCATTTATTTGTTGACAACGCATACATTCTAGGGAAAAGATATTTTAAAGGAGACTCATCAGCCCATGAATCCGTCCAAAATGCAATAGACTTTCCATTTCCCAGTTTCAACTTGGAGTTAGATCTGATACGTTCACCCTCCGAGTCGTTCTTCAAGAAATTGTTGGCAATCCCTCTCCAAATCCAAGAAGATTTGGGCGAAAAAACCTTACAAATAGACATGGAATTACTACTTACCTTGTGCCTGCAACATAACACACTTTTCCACAAAGTATTTTTTTCATTGGCGAACTTCCACACCCATTTTCCCAAAAGAGCCCGATTAGATATGTTCACATCAAGAACACCAAGGCCACCACAATTTAGAGGCGTGCAGACTGATTTCCAATTAACCCAGTGTATCTTCCTTTTGTCCTCATTATCCCCCCATAGGAAACTGGCCATTAAAGAATTAAGCTTCTTACCAATTTTACAAGGCATTCTAAAAAGAGATAAGAAGAATATTGGTAGGGATGTTAACACCGACTTTAATAAAACTGTCCTGCCCGCCAATGAGAGACAATTAGCTTTCCAGCCGGCTAGTTTGGAACTAAAATTCTTGAAAACTGGATCCCATAAGGCTTCTGAGTTTTTCTTAGCACCTAGAGGAAGTCCCAAGTAATCTGTTGGAAGAGAATCAATAGAGCAGCCCACCGAAGATGCCCATTCTGATAAAACTTCCTCTTCCACATTAATACCAAATAGCTTACTCTTAGCTAGATTAAGATGCAACCCTGTCATAACACTAAAAATCCTCAATACTCTCTTGACATTTTTAATCTGGGAGAGAGATGCTTGACAGAAGATGATCAAGTCATCTGCAAATTGTAGATGTGTCAATCGAACAGAATTTTCAGATTCCCCAATAACAAAGCCTTGAAACAGACCCCTGTCCACTGCTTTAGATATCATCAAATTAAGCAGCTCACCTACAATGTTAAACAGTAGCGGTGATAAACTGCACCCTTGCCTAAGTCCTTTGGCCATGTGGAACTCTTCCGATGGAGACCCGTTTACGAGAACTGAGATTGAAGCTGTTGAAATACACTGAGATATCCACGACAACCATCTCTTACCAAAACCCATCTCTGACATTATTCTAATTAAAATTGGCCATTCCACGGAATCATAAGCCCTACGAAAATCTACTTTGAAGGCAACCCCTTTTAACCCTTTTTTCCTCCAGTAATCAATCCCTTCGTTTGCTATAAAAGCACAATCCAGCAACTGTCTCCCTGGTATAAACGCAAACTGAGAGTGACTAATAATATCACCAACACAACAACTCAGTCTCTTCGAAAGAACTTTAGAAAGTATCTTGTATAAGCTGCCTACAAGGCTGATTGGTCTAAATTCCTCTACACTGTCCGGATTAAGCTTCTTCGGAATAAGTGTGATAAAAGCATGGTTTATACCGTGCTCCCATTTCCTTCCAAAATAGAAATCTTCAAAAAATTTCAACACGTGCTCCTTTAAAATCGGCCAGCAGTTTTTAAAGAAACCCATGGTGAAACCATCTGGTCCTGGAGCTTTAGAGCTGTCTGATGAGACTATAGCTTGCCAAATTTCCTGTTCTAAGAAGTGCTCTTCAAGCTTCTTAGACTGATCCCCTGATAGCTTAGCAAAATCCAGTAGTAAATCCTCCGTTTCCAATGTTGAATTGGAATTATAGGCTGCCTTGAAAAATTCTGAAATATGTACCTTTAATTGTTGAGGATCTGAAACCACACTCCCATTTATCTTCAAGCTTAAGATTTCATTTCTTTTGCTTCTGTTCAGAGCAGACAGATGAAAAAACCTTGTGTTCCTATCCCCCTCCTTGATCCATCTTGCCCTTGACTTCTGAAACCAGATGCTTTCTTCTGTCCTATACAACCTCCATAGATTTGTCCTACACAGCCTCAACTGATCCCACTCCTGCTTCGAAAGAATTCCACCTTGAGCTTTAAGATCCAATTCATTAATTTTCCTCTCTAAATCAGAAATCGACTCAGGGATCCCAGTAAATTTACTGCTGGACCAATTTCTGATTGAATTTTTAGTACCTTTTAAGATACTGAAAATACCCCTTTTATTATTTCTCCCCCTCATAGCAAGCATTGAAGATTTAACCAATTCCTCAAATCCTTCCTCCTCTAGTAAATAATTAAAAAACCTGAATGGTTTCGGTCCCCAATTAACAGCTTTGTCCTCTAATGAGACAGGATTATGATCAGATAGGGATTTAGGCAAGAGACTTTGCACTACATTTGGAAAACATGACAGAAACGTCCCAGAGATTAAGAACCTGTCTAGTCTTTCCCAAGTCGAGTCTTCTCTATTATTGCACCAAGTATACCTTCCTCCCACCAACGGTAGATCAATTAAATGTGATTGCTGTAAGAAGTTTCTAAATAAATCAATAGAATGCCAGTTTTGTGATTTTCCCATCTTCTCGTCCGGATCAAGATACACATTAAAATCTCCCCCAATACACACTAACATATTTGAGCCGAAACAAACTCCAACAATTCCCTGAAAAAATCTTCCTTTTCTGCTTCAATTGATGGACCGTATACATTGATAATCAGACACTCTTCACTTGAATTTCTGAACTTCCCAAAGACTGCTATGAATCTGCCATTAAGATGGGTGTTCGAAACTTCAAAATCATTTTCATTCCACATAATCATCAATCCACCAGCAGATCCCACTGCTGGCGCAACAATCCCTCCTCTAAGGAATCTCCCCCTATCCTTCTTCTAAGAGCCAAAGAAACAGATTCTAGTTTTGTTTCTTGAATTAGAATCAAGTTCGGCTTATTCTTCTTCACCAAATTAGCTACCACTCTTGACTTTTCCTTTTTTCCAAGACCCCTTACATTCCAAGAAATAATGTTGACATTTATCATATCAAGAAGATCTACACCAAATCCTTATAGCTAGTCTCCAGAGAAATAGAGACTAAACCCCTGACTTCCCCTGTTCCCTACTCTCAGCCGAACCCTCTTCAAGGTTGATAATTTTGTCCAAAAAAGCCTTCTTCCCATCTTTGAAAGAAATTCCTAGAACTTTACATACTTCCCATGTAACCATCGCTTCCTCAACCGCCTTCGAGAACTGAGGAGTAAAAACTAAAGGAGAATTAACCATATCAACTGCTTCCCTTGTTAAAACTCTTCTCTCCCTTCTTTTAGACCTTTCTGACCCTACAGCAGAGAAAGGAACTACTGCCAAGACCTCCGAAGAACTATTACAATTAGTTGGTGCCACATAAGGGTTCTGATCATCAGCTGCACCATTTAAAATCACTTCCCTTCCACCTTCCATATTTATTGAAGGAGGCTGCAAATCCTTTCTCACCGGAATACCTTTGTGTTTATTCTCAAACCAGTTAATTCTCACCCTCGACCTGGTATAATGTCTTTTATAGCTGGCCATTCTCCTCCTCTCTATGGGCAAACTTTTGGGCCAAAATGTTCTTCTATGCTGGAACAACGATCTGTCTCTATCCCTAATCAGTTCAGTTCCAACCCCCTACAATCGTCCTTTTCCAAGACTACTACTTCCTCTAACAGATCCTTATTTGGCTTATTTGAGATCCCTTCAGATTGAGACTGTACTCTATTGAACCCACCCTCAATCGAAATATGTTTGTAACCTGACAAATCAGTATTCGAATTCTGCATTTTTGAGTCTACCAAAACAGAATGCTGAAACTCTCCTTGAACCTCCATCCTACTTAATTTAACATCATGCCCCCCTGGAATTAGATTATTAGCTGGTGAATCATACTCCCTGTTAGATTGTGAAGACCCAGCAGGCAACAAATTTGGATTTAAGTCTGCCGAGACATTAGCCCAATTCTGCACCTTTATTTTATCTGAATCAGATTGCTGCTGAGAACCTGCAAATTCCACCCGAGACTCCAAACGGTTACCATATCCCAGTTTTAATAAATTAACAGCTGGCCCAGAAGGTACTATTCTGTAGATATTTGTATTGGACTCACTTGAGCCCTCTAAATGGGCTTCTTCAAATTCATTAATAGAGACATTCCTTAGACCAAGGCCCCTATAGTCCTCTTTAAAATTCAAATCTTCTGCAGAAAAACCTGACACCTTAGCACCACTAGGTTGACTTTCTCCTTCCTGCAGTATTAAATGTTTACTTCCACTGCCTCCTGCCACTGTTGTGCAGACATCACCTACCAACCATCTGTCTACTGTGTCCCTAGAATTCTCAGCTGGCAATTGTGGGCTACCTACTCCACCTGAACTCCGGACTTCTTTCTCTTCCGATGAAGAATCAACTCTAGACACACCATCTCCGGCCACCTGAAGAATTTCTGCAAAAAAACTCTCCTGTTTATAACTGACCGATCCCACACTAATCTTAACCTTATACGATCTCCCATATGCACCCAAGGTAACAGAATCCTGTATATCATAAGGACTCGCCACCCTCAACAAAGCTCTTGCCACCGCCAAATCCTCTCTTCTGATCGTGGACTCATGAATACACACCAATTTCCCCCACCTTGAGACCAGCTTTTCCAAAAAAGATCCATTACAACATAGTAAAGGGATTCCATGCAACTCCACTGAACAGAAAGCCATCGGGACTCCATCTACACTCATAAGTGGATCAAGCCAGTCGAACCAAAGTGACACTTCATCCCTTCTGTTTTTCCACGCCTCCTCGAACTCTTCCTTCGACCCAAAGGTTATAATGCAAGAGTTCCAGGTATAACCCCATTTAGTTCCCTTGACCTTGATCCCTTTACTAGCCAACCCCTTCACTACTGTCCCCAGATCAAAATGGGATTTAATGATCCCAGTTATTGATCTTTTCACCCAATCATATTCGTCTGGGGGAATATGCATTTCCCACAAATTCCTCACCCCTACTTCCTTGTCTTTATGGCCTTCCCAAATCACTTTAGACGCCGGACCTTCTCTCCTTCCATCCAAAGACGCTAACGCCTCCTTGTAAGATCTCTCATCTCTCAGTCGGCTATAAGATTCTGGTCCAGCTCTTCTACTCCGATGCGTATCCTTTTCCCACTTATCAACTTCCTTACTGTCGTTACTTCTAACAGCCTGCTTTAGTCTCTTCTTCTGGTACTTAGCAACTCCTACTGATATTTTCTTACCATCAATCCAGATACCATTAATTTTTGCTATCGCCCTCAACAACCCATCCTCATTAGCAAACTGGACGAAAGCAAACGTATAATTTCTATAATTCGGCTTGTTGGAATTATTCGGAATGTAGACACGAACAACACTCCCCTGTTGATGAAAAATTTCCTTAAGAGTTTTCCTAGTTACCCTTTTACTCAGATTGTCAACGAAAACCGTCCACTCCTCACCGGAAAACTGACCAACTGAAAACCTCTCTCTCTCTCCCACTTTCTCCCTGACACTCTCTCTCATCTTACTGATTATTCTAAATAGCCTCAATATGAGATAATACAGCTAAATAAAATTAAGTGCATGAATCGGTCATGAAAAATAGTTTTCTTCGTAATAAGCAAAATTATGTGGAAACTTGTAAAATAAATTTTGAATTAATCAATTAAGAATTCATACATATCAGCCACAATAAGGGAAGTTACTGGCCTGTCTAGTATCTACAACATCAGAAAACCATTGGTTTGGATCAATAAGATTCTGTGTAGCGTGATGGATTTCCCTGGTTTTTCCAACATCATAACACTTTAAATCTAAGTTGAAGAAGACAACTAAAGAAAAATAACAAAAGCATTAGAATTTAGAACCTCTCAATCAATGCAGAGAATCGAGCCCTTCGTATTGTAAGATGACGGTTCACTGCTCTGCAGACTTCGATAACCTCAAATGCAATGTTTTCACCTTCTCTGTCACAATCAAGCCAGAGAACCAACCATTGGCACCTCCTAGCTTCTTCCTCTAACGTCCTTTTAATATCCAATTTATCCTAAATCAGCAAAAATCCAATGAAAGTAAAATCCAGATGTAAACATTTAGCACACTACACAAAACAAATTATGGAGATTCTCAGATCCAAAGAAAGGAGAGAGTCAGTTTTTTATTGTTGACCTCTTTCGTTGCCCCTTTTTTAAGATGAAATCAGATTCGCACTTCAATATTTTTCATGACATGGTAGTTAAAAGTAAAACGTTAAATTTTGTTAATAACACCACCATGATTTTATTTCTCCCATACTTCAGTCATTTTGAAATAATTTTTTTGCTCGTTAAAAATAAGTCAAAGAAAATACGAATAATCAAATTTGTAACTTAATAGATGGCATAACAGTACTAGCTGCTAGTGCAACGAATTCAAAACACGCAGTACATTTTAAATAATTTATCAATTTTGTTGACATGCGATTTGGCTATTTACAATTTACTTTGTTCTTCTTTGAGCATCATTTCAAAAAGACAAACGGTACATTACCGAGAAAAAAGCTTAAAATGGGCGAAAAAGAGGGAAACCTCAGGAACGATTTTGCGAACGGGGGCATGGTAGAGGTCCACCGGATCACAAGAGTGCCAGTGACAGAGGTGAAGAGCATGTGGCAGGGTTGGCCACGAATCGAGTAATTAAACTCGAATATCTTGTTATACCGGGAACGGCCATCGCGCCATCGCGCACGTGCAGGCCTTGGTTCCTTGAGAGGATGCCCGACACTGACTTCGCCACCGACGGCTTCTCCGCCACGTTCAGAACCTTGATCGTGGCCGACATTGAGAACTGAGGGTTTTGAATCACCCCCCCCCCCCAACCCCATAAAAAAGGGCTTTTAAAGGAGGTCTTTCCCGCGTAGTGAGAATTCGGAGGTAAAATTCTAGAAGAAGCGGCTGAGCCGGAGTGACGATGGTGTCAAGTACTCAAATGCAAAGAAAACTAGACCGTTGTGGTTAGTACATATTTCGTGTATAAACTTAAGTATCTAATTATACCTGGATTTTAAAATAGTAGCATAAATAAATTAAAATTTTAGACATATCATCTTTGCTCAATTAAAGGCACTATATGTATTTGAAAATTAACTTTGAATATTTAACTAATCTTTTATTGTACTTTTTCCTAACCTACTTAACTTTTTTTTATTGAATTTGTTCAAAATACGAAAGAACTCGAGGAATTTGCAGTGTTGTAGCAAGATTGGAATGAGATCGTAAAGAATTTTTAACATAAGGATAACACTTATCAAGAGATATTGCTCTTAAAATTGATCTGTAAGTTGCTTCAACTCGAATAAAAGGTCATATATACATAAGTATAACACTTTAGATTCTGTTACCATGTCATATATAATTAATTAATTTTAACATGTAGCATTAATTGATTGGATTAGCTAAAAAAAGGCATGTTATCAAATTTTGAATAAAACTATTTTTTTTGGATTAATCTGTATCAGAATTTTCAATCTTAGGTATTAATTTTGCTAAAAATATTCAAGTATTAAATAGGTCTCGAAAAAAATTACGTACCAATTAGATACTTAATAACAAAGTCAGTCAGGAATCTATTTTAAATATATATATAACCTTCAACGATTGACTGGATATGATATATTTAAAAAATGATTTGGATTAGGCTTTTTATTAATGTATGTAACATTTTCTAAGTTTAAATATTAGTTAGGTATCTAAAGTAAAATCCTTGAGTCCTATGAATTTAAATAAAAAAAATTAGCGTCAATTAGAGGTAGACACTTGTTTTAACCAAAAAATTTAAATACTTAAAATAAACAAAATATATAATTTAAACGCATATTTTTCAATTAACTAAGGATATAACAAAAAAAAATCTAAATACTTAAAATAAACAAAATGTACAATATAGACACATATTTTTCAATTAATTAAGGATAAAAGTATAGGAATCAGATTAGGACAAAAAATCTTCAAGTATCAAATCGAGAGAAGTGGAGAGATTCAGGGGCTAAATATAAAATTAAGCCATTTAATATTAGGATGCAGATTTTATTTTATTTTTACCCTAACGTGACAGTTAACCCCTGTTCTTGACGAACCCTAATTTAGGTGGTGTTGTCGCCCGGTCACTGTCTCTGCCACCGCTAGCCATCCAATTTTTTTCAACGTCACAAGCTTTAAAACTCAATGTAGATTTTTTTTTTCCAACTAGAGAAATGCATATTCGAATCAAAGTTCAACAGATTTCTTTGACCACATCACTTCAACAGCTTGAAACCCTATCCCACTCGCAAAAGATCGCTATTATCCTTTCGATTTCTCGACGGTTTTAACTTCTTCAGCTCCAACTGTATAGAGAAACGAAAAGTTTCAAGAGCCGCCCCCCCCCCCGCATGGAGGAAGGTGATAGAAGGATCAGTTATGGTGGGGAAAGCTCTTCGAGGGATTCGGCCGGTTCGCCATCACGGTTGTTAGCTAGCAGGAAAAGGTTCTCAATTGAGCTCAGGCCTGATGAGACCACGATAGTTTCTTGGAAGAGGCTAGTCAAAGGTTCTCAGTGCACGTCTCCTCCTTTGATTGCCCGAAAGACCGAGGATTCTCTGGTGAGAGCATTTGTTGGAACCCTATTTCAACTTAATTTATTGCTTCAATTTATCTATATATTTGGAAATATATTCTACGATTGGAGTTTGGAACTTTTTTTTAATTGTATGGATATACTATTTGGGTATGCTTGGATGGATTTGAATAGCAGTCCGTTGTCGGAATAGCTGCCTTTATATAGTGGTAAAGCTGTCCTCCGAAACCCTTTTTTCATAATCATGATGCAATGCAATCGAAAATGCGACCACAACCACAATTTAAATCTCTGTTTGGAGCAACATGTTTTAGGTATATTTGTGGTTCTTTGAAATGCATGAACCTTGATTTCTGTTAATCATTTTGCAAGTTGGGTTTTGGCCTTTGTATTTGTAGTTTTGTACCAAGGATTAACAGCTCATCCAGCAAATTGAAGGTCAACCAGTTTATCATGTTTCAATTTGGTTTCTCTTGTTCGTTTCTTTTGCTAGTACTTCAATTATATCTTGCAATGGTATTTTTTTATTGCATTACAGGTGGTTTTCATCTATTCCCAAGATATCTGAAGTTGTTAATTATCACTAAAAATGTTGGTTTGTTTATTTTCATGCAGGATGAATGTTTTCAAGACAGCAAGCCTACAGTTATACAGAATGGATTACTGGTAAATTCTAAGAAATTGGAATGCGTGTGAGTTCCTCCTCCCCGCCTTTGTTCAAGCATTCTTCTTTTTATATGTTTGGCTTCTTGGCTGTTGAGATGATCCAGGAAACAATAGTTGTTGGTTTTGCCCCCTCTAATCTGAAGTGTATACTAGTTGTGAAAGTTTCCTTTTATTAATTAATTCAAATTATTTAAAAGATAATATATTAATGATTAATATTTATTGCTTTCCTTAGCCATGATCTTGATTTCTACCATTCAAATTTTATGTAATGTATCAGACAAAATGACTCAATTTTAGTAAATGCGTAGTCATTGAAAGATACATTTGGCTTTGTAGTAGTTGCTTTCTTCCTTATATATATATATATATATATATATATATATATATATATATATATAGCATTTAACAACTTAACAAGAATATACTCCATAAAAGTCTGCTCTAGGCATAAGTTCTTGTATATCAGAATCTTGCGAGGATAGTGTCAACAAAATGACATTTTGTCCTAATCTAGCTAGGAATATAAGTTACAACCTTTAACTTTTTCAATATGAGCTATTATACTGAGCATGTAATCACTGATGGGTGAAGCATGCTTGTGTTTGGTTGCTGATTTTAAAGTTATTCATGCCTTACTTTGGAGAAGATAATTTAAGTTGATTGTCAATTTTACTCCTCTTTGTTGATATGTTGTTCTGGTCCAGAAATGAGCTTGTATTGTCGGTGGCTCAACAATCAAGAAAACGGAGTAAAAATACAGCCAAAGCTCAAGGAGAGAAAGTTCATGGTCATCTACCAAGTAAACAGTCGAAAGTGGAACAGGGGAGGACCGATTTTGAGGCAACCAGCACATTGCTTCAAGAAGAATCTTTTGTTCATTTGCAGAACTTAACAGATATGAGTCAACATGACAGGAAATACCATAAACTGTTGACTTATCCTGTAAGATCTTCAATTAAGAAACCTGCTAACATCGGAACCAAGTCCGAACACTCGTCACACGCGGGAATCTCGAATGATGATGCCTCTATGTCTCTACTAAATTCAAAGGATACCGGTCACTATAGGAGTGTAACCATCCACTCTAGCAATTTTGGAAATCATATAAACTCTGTAGCAACACACCAGAATTATCTGGGAAAAGAATATTGTAAACAACTTGAGTCTCCAGTGAGAGAACCGATGACTGGTGACATCAAGGAAGCAATTTCCACCAAAGTAGAGCCGAGGGAGAATGAGGCAACATGTGGTGAACTTCCGGATCTTAATCTTCCCGTTTGTCCTTCGCAACCCGTGGTAAGCAATTGTATCTCCAAATTTCAACAAGAACATATGAGGACTTGATCTCATTTTGTCAATTCTGACACTCTGTCGCAAGTAATTCAATTTTGAGGTGATTTTCATGTTTGACGTGCCTCTTTTTACATACTGATTCCACCTACAGTTAAATTACTATAATTAGCGATACCTGTAGATATTAATCTCATTCAATGATTAATAGAGCTACTTCCTCTAATGATGCGCACGCGCGCATGTGTGTATAATTATAGTTATTTATCACATCTCTGTGATATAAAAACAATCTCAAAGCTTTATTTACTAAGTTTTAGTTTAAAGGAATTGTGAGTTTGAATGTTATAAAATGCATTTGCTTATTATTTAGTGGCATTGAAGATTTATGAATAATTAAGTAAAAAATTTAGTAAATTGCTTCACATCTTATTATGTTAAGAGTATGTTTACAATTGAATTACTTTATGTTAAAAAGTTAAAATCAAATTATTTTATTTATTTATTGATATAATCATGTCACTTTACTATTAAGTGTATAACATACTTTTATTTTCTATTTATATTTTTGGTTACTCAACCATGAGTAAATTTATATTTTTGTCATTAAATTTTGTTTTTGAGTCAATTTCTTTTATATTTTTTTTCTAAATTTACATAGGTTGATGTGAGATCAATTTGCAGAGAATATTATTCTCATTTTTAGCTAATAAGAAGCTGGTTTTATACTTGTAAGAAATTTAAAAAGTATTCATAAAAATTCATTTACAATTAAAACTTAAATGACTAAATTGTTATTTTTGTTATCAAAATATAAATTTATCTAAAAAGTTATTGTCGCTATGCACATATTGGCCATAAATGAATTCTGAAAACATTTTCGTGTGCGAGGTCACTCTACGGTTCTGACTTTTTCTTGGCCCGGGGTAAAATTAAAAAAATTGGACCCTAATTTAAAAGAATATTAAAAATATGCAATATAAAATTTTAATTAATTTTTTATTAAATTAAATAAATATTAATTCATTACAATATCAAAAATGTCAAAAACAAATTTAAGCATATAAATACTTATAAAAAAAATTGTCTTCGAGCATTTCTTGATGCAAAATCATTGATGATAGTGTCAACATCAATGTTTTCCAATATATTTTTCTCAATATATAACATAGCTAGCCCATTCAATCTTTCTTGTGACATTGTTGACCTTAAGTAATTCTTCAATAATTTCAGCTTTGAAAAACTTCTTTCCGCGGATGCTACCGTTACCAGCATTGTTAATAAGATTCGATAAGCAATTGAAACATTAGGATAACAATCTCTAGCTTTAACAAACTCAATAACTTCAAGCGCTGACATGAATACATTTGGCAAAGTCAATTGCATCACTTTATTTTCAGAAAAAAAAAATCATCTACATCAACATCCGACAAATTATTATGAGAAAAAATAATCTTAAAATTATTACAACATTTTTTTAATAAGTCAATAAGAAATAAGTTTATGGGCTCTGCTTTTAATTTAATTTATTAATATTTATGAGCCCCGCTTTTAATTTAATATATTAATATAGTTTTTAACATTATGATGAGAACAATAAGTCAATAAGAAATAAGTTTATGAGCCCTCTTGTATTAATATAAGAAAATGATATATTAATATTTATGAGTCTTACTTTTAATTTAGTATATTAAAATATAATAAATTAATACAAATTAAAATTATGGGCCCTGGGTGGGAGCCCCTCTTACCCCTGCCCAGAGCCGGCCCTACACTTGCTCTTGCTGTTTCCCCTATTTATATATTCTATTTCATGGCTCTTTTTTCTCTCGAAAATACGCAATTCTAGGGAATTTTTGACTTAGGAATTTTCTTTTTGAATTTTATATTGAACAAAGTTAATGAAATGTGGAAATCATTTTTGTTCATGGCTGCAGTCCAAGAATAGAAGAGTTTCAGTGAGGAGCTGGAATGGCAAAATATGGGTTGATATTCGTGAATTTTATGTTAAGGATGGCAAACAGATGCCTGGCAAAAAAAGGTAAGAGGGACTTAGCATCAAAGCCCGCCCTTGCCAATGTTGCCTGCCCCAAACTATACATGATATTCTACCTTGAGATTACTGACTTTTTTTTTCATATTAATTTGGTTTATGGGTTCGATTTCCCACTGTTTTTTCATGCAATAGACTTCTCAAAGTTTGGAATCTCTGGGTGAGAGAACATTTTATTTATGATTTTTTTGTCAAAGTCTGGATCAGGTATGAATCACAAAGTTATGCTTTCTGTTATAATAATGATTTGGGGGGACATTTCACTCATCGTTTTTCTTCTGGTTCAGTGGAACGTTCTGCATGATCATGCCGAAGCAATCGACAAGGCATTTGCTGATAACTCATAGGAAGTAGACATGGTATACCCTGTACAAAAGATAATGGGAATCAAAGGTGTCACAGCATAGTTTTGTCTATCTTGGCTTATTTTTGATGTTGCCGAACTCTGACGGTTTTCAGTAGGTGGCCGACGGACAGTCGGACGGACATCCGTTTTGTGTAATTAGTTGTGTAGCTTTTAACTATTAGGCTAAAATATGTGATGTATTTTTCATGTTGGATGACCCCTCTTATCGTTTCCCGTTGAACCTTTCGGCTTATTTTTTCATGGTTTTGAACCACTGGCAGCTCCAAGTTATTTTGGCCTGAATATGATACAAGTAGTCTTCAAATGGAACGATAATACAGAAATCAAGTTCCCGGGTAACAAAAGTTGATGACAAAGGTTAAGGGCAGGAGCTTAGTCAATGCGTACATAATTAATACAATATAACAACATTATAACTTGTATCATACAAATTGTCTGCACTTATAGAACATCACAATACACAAAATAGAGGGACCTTAAATCCGAATGAGAAGTCGGCATTTTCGTCTTTTGGTTTCAACCACCAGAACAAAAGTCACCTTTTCAGAAGTTCTCTAATAATAAAAAAATCAACACATTCGAAGCCAATCAATCTGACGTAGCAAGGGCTGATTGCAACACATCTTCGAGATATTTTTCAGCAGCAGCATACTGCCTTTTCTTGTCCTCAATTGCTAAGGCAGCTAAAGCTTTATCCTGCATAACAAGAAAATGGCAATAATGAGCTTGTTAGAGTAGCTTCCCTCACTATCGGTGAGGACATAATTAGAGCACCGTAAAAGGAGTTGCAGCTCCAAAATAAGTACCAAAGAGAAACATACTACGTCAAAGGCACATATATAGAAACAAGCAGCCTAATCTAAAACATCCCAGACAAGGACGACAACAAAATTGAACATAGACCAGATGAATAAACATCATCTGTATTACGACTCATTGACATGTGTTACACGTGGAAAAAGTGTGTGTACTTGTGTTTTTAACAAGAAAATTAAACATAGATTCTGTTCATTTGTTATATCAATGCCATGAATGATATTGAGAATGAAATATACAGAAAAGATTATGTGAAGCTTCACTATAAATATGCATGGCAACCTCATACATCAACAATACATTTTAACCATTGTAGCTTTACACAAGACATGACGGCTAATGAACCCAGTTGGACTAGAGGACTCTCGAATCGGTACCAAAGAGTTTGATATAGGAAACAAACACCAAGTATAATGGAGTAGAAATTTTTTATATGTGTAGGAAAAAACATGAACATCAAAGCATGATAATGCTCCAATGGCAACCGTAATAACATATTACCGGAGGCAGGTCCTGGTAACTCCTCAAAGTATCTAAGATGGGCTTGGTCTTCTTCTCTAAATCTTTCCTGTGCTCAGCCATTTCCACCAACACCCCATGATTAATTTCAGGTGAGTAGCCCACGCGATTTAGTAATGCCTGTCAAACAAGATTAAGCATAAATGAAATGCAGAAAGAATTCATGCAACATATAGGTGATAATTTGATCACCGAAATCTTCAATAAATTAACAATAAGGAAAAAAAAAACAAAAACAGCTACATCCTTGCTTCATAATTCTTAAATCAACCAAATATATTGATGTAATGTAGATTATCTTTTCAAAATAACTGGTGTGTTAAGAACAAATATCTTCCTGGATAATGAATAATTTACAGGATGCTTAGAAATATCAACCTTGTAATCTTCTTCTCTTTAACCTCTGTCTACTGCTAAGGTACCTCAACCAGGCATGCTGTTTCTGGGTTTAAAACAGAATATAATACACTAAATTCCAGCTCTACCTATATATAAAATTTGAAGTTACCTTTTCAACCCATTTTATTCATCTGCAAATTTGAATTGTAATAAAAGGTTCTTTTATTACATTGAATTGTCATATCTACATTTCTATATGGCATTCATAAACTTTAAACCAGCCACCAGTCATCTACAATACAAATCATGAATATCCAAGTTTCATCAACTTATGGCAATGCCAGCTTCTCTTCCATCCATTAGTTTACTTTTTTAGTCGGTAAATAGATCATATCATGGCCTAACAGCTTAAATTTCAGGAACTAGTTCTGCATCTTAATGCTTCCTGGAAAATAATAATAATAACACAAATGGATCACACCTTATAATTGTTATACTGTTGCATGTACTGTCGCTCCTTTGATGCCATAACTCCCAAGTTCGTTTTCCAATTTTCCATTTGAGCATCACATGGAGCCACATCATCTTCTAGTTGAGCTAATGTCCTACATAAAAAATGCAACTTCTCAATTAAAAAAACCATATAGATTCAAACAAAGAGCTCAATTAGGGGCCGAAAGCACAAGTTTTACCTTTTCAAATAGGTTAGCCTTGCAATTGCTTTTCGAGTATACTCCAGAAGAGTTTTGGACTCTTTGTGCACTTTAGCTCTCTTCTCATCTACCCCAGTTTTTCTCAAAGAAATATCACCCATTGCTACAAGAAAACTAGATTCCATTTTTTTCCCAATCTCATTAAATTTCCAAATATAATACATGAAAATCAACATGGTAAATCGAAACCAACCCACCTACTAAGTTCGGTGTCCCGAATATTCAATAAATTAGCAACATTTGCCAGAACTTGCGCCGACGCAACCACATTAGACGGCAAACTCTCCTGCGCTAATCCGACGCTCTCCAATATCTCTCTAATTCGTGCAGCTATAAAGAAAATATAGTTTTAGGAATAACAAGATAAAATTGTTTAAATTAGATGGACAGAACTCAATTAAACAAATTGGGGACCTTGAGAACGGTATTCGGCGGCTTTCTGGCGAAAATCATTGGCGACAATGTTGGCAGCTTGAGTCTTGGCCTGCGAGACGGTAGTCAGATTATACAGATGGGCAATGCTTCGCGAAGTGTATTCGAAATCGGGGACCTCTTTCCCGACGGCATCGAATTGAGCCGCCAGCCACGCCTTCACTTCCGCAATTCGAGCAGCTTCGGATCCTCCGCCCTTCGTTGCATCCGTTACCACCGGATCGCCCACTCCGGATATCGTTTCATTCATTTTTTTAAAGCAGTGAGTCGGAAGCGAGTGCTGCTGAATCTGATTTTGAACAAGAAGGCGGATAGATAATCAGGAAAATATATATATTTAAAAGCCCCTTCCAAAATGTTTCCGGTCAAAACTTTTCAATTTGCACATTTACTCCTTATTTGATTCAAAATAATATTTTATCCCTTTATATTGAAAACTGACATTTTACTTTAGTTACAAAGAATTTCATCTTCAAATATTAAAGGGTAAGCGATGCAAATAGTCTCCTTTGTTTTTTATGAGACCGAATTTGGTTATTAATTTAAAAATTAAATGTACATGGTCTCTAACATAATTGATCTGTTCGATTTTAGTCTCTAACATTATCGATTCGTTCGATTTTAGTCCCTCATCTGTTAACCCTCGTTCAATTTTAGTCCCTCAGTCGTTAACTCCTATTCGATTTTAGTCCCTCAGCTATGTCATATATTCGTTAAGGGTTAACGATAGAGATACTTAAACCAGACGAATCAATAATGTTAAGGATTATTTACCCTTAATTTTTAAATTGGTACCAAAATCGGACAGACCCTAAACAAAAAGGACTATTCACATAGTTTACATAATATTTAAATTGTTAATTTATATAAAGGTATTGTCTATCAAGTTTTGTTAGTTCTCTGAGGTTAGTGATTTAGGAGCTAAACTAATAAATTAAGATCCCCCACAAAATTAGAAGAAAATTCACGATGTTTTTTCATAAATTTATACGAAAGATGTTATGTTACAATAATGTTAAATAATGCACTATAGATTGACTAAAAAGTTAATTTCAAAAAGTTAAATAATGAAATTGAATATTTTTAAGATTGAGTGACCAAACCAAATTTAATGACTAAAACCAGTATATTTTTTGTATAAATACCATTTTATATAATTCTCTCACTAATATTACATACATTATTTATGATAAATGTTTAAATAAATATGTAAGCTTTAGAAGTTATTCTGATAAAAGCAGAATCTTTTCAAAATAATCAAATAAATATTTATATTTTTGTATCTGTTTAAAAGTAATGTTTTTAAATTTGTTCAAATAAAGGGTCGATCTTTTGAAAATATTTTTAAAATAAGGGCCCTCATTTGAAGGATTAGAAAACATTAGATCATTGTCTCAACAGACTAAAAAATATTAGGCTCTTATTTGAATTTATTTTAAATGCTAGATTATTATTTGAGTATATTCAAGAGTGTTAGGTCCTTATTTGATATTATAAAAGATTATGACTTTTAGATGAGTGTTTTTGAAAATAGTAGACCCTTATCTAAATATTGAACTAATTATTTATTTCTGAATGAAAATACTCCCATGAAAATTACAGCTTAACTTTGCCAGCAAGCATAAAAGCCTTATAAGCGATTGATCTTACCAAATGAGACCCACCCCAGGCACTCTCAAAGTCTTTCACAACATTTTCCGACAACAAATCCACACCTTTATCTTTCGCCGTCACCACCGCCGACCAAGATCTCAACATCCTCAAAAACCCCTCGAACGACAGTTTCTTAGGAATGTCCAACGCCAACGGCTCCCCCTCTGATCCCAAACCAACGCTTTCGAACGGAAAAGGCAGCGTCTTGTACCCGTCGAAGAGGTACTGGATTCTAGGGTTCCAATAAGGAAGCGTGGTGTCGTGAAATCGCTTCATCACGGGATCGAACGTCGGGCTGACGACGACGTCGTTGTAGCACCAGACGGCGAGGACGCCGCCAGGCCTGCGTAAAAGTCTGGTCACCAGAGAGTAGAATTTGGGAAGATCGAACCAGTGGATTGCTTGGGCGGTTGGGCCACGGTGATTAAATCGACCGAGTTTTCGCCGCCTATTAAAGATAGTAATTCCTCGTCGGATATTGACGACGGGGTATACACGTATTTGACCTTCGGGTGTGGGATCGCGTACTGTAATTGGGATTCACTCACATCGATCCCGATCACTCGATCATAGTGGTCGGCGACCTGAAAGAATCGGAAACATCACTGATTCTTAATCCGATCACACGATTTTCAGAGAAGAAAAACAGTAACAAAAAAACTTACACCAATAGCAGCTTGACCACTGCCGGTGCCGACATCCCAAGCTAGAGAGTGGCGGGGAGTGCAAGCGGCGAGCATCGAGTACCAGTCGGAGGGATACGTTGGCCTTGCATCGGAGTAAAGGTCTGCTTGCTTGTCGAACAATCCTGCCATCTTCCCGGATCTGGCGTTTGACGGAGTTAGATGAGAATGATGAATTTCTTTTTGATACAATGGAGATGTTAAAGAATCATAAACTATCATGGCCAAAATAAAAATATATGCAGATTATATTAAAGAATTGTATACCAATATATTATTATTATTATTATATTGAGATTTTGTATACCAATATAGAATACGGATTCCATTCATGTTCAAGACGTGAACCACCAAAATTATTTATTTCTAGTTTGATTTTAAATTTATCTCCCAAAAATTATGAAAGATGTTTCCATATTCGTTGTAAATTTATTTTGAATATTTATTTAGATAAAGTACACAAATGGTCTCTCGATTATAATATGTTATTTTATTGAGTTACTCAATTATTAAAAGTTATAAAATGGTCATCCTACTATAAGAAGTTGTTTTGTTGAGTCCATCGGCTATTAAAAGTTGTAAATGGTCATCCGACTATTCATTATGTTCTAAATTTATCCTTTTTCGTTAAGAAATTGATGACAGTCTAAGTTGAATATTAACGCGCTGACTAAGACATGATAAAATATGATCTCATAATCTCAAACAAAACAATATCATATAGTTGGGTGATCATTTGTATACTTTATTATGTTTATTTTTACTTTAATTGTTGACATCTAATCAATTAACTAATTAAATCAAATATAAAAAATCAATATAAAATTGACAATAAAACCAAAATTAAACATTTAATCATAAATAAATTTATTGATAATTTGATTAGACGTCTAATTAGTGGTGTACATAAATTATTAATATGCTTCTATTTGGTAGATTTGTAAGAAAATCATAAATATTAAAAAAAAAAAGTGATAAATTTTAACGAGTTTAAATATCATTTATAATTTTTTAATAAGTTTAATAATTATTTTATACTAATTTAATAAAATTTAATAACTATTTTTATAACAATTCAATCATTTTGATTAATATTTTATAACTTTTAAAAATTCAATAATCAAAATCATCATTTTAACATATATTATTGTTTATTTATATTATTTACCCTAAAAATTAACGGAAACGAAGAATATTTTGGTTCCACAAAGAATATGTGTTCTTTTCATGAGACGTGAACATCAACGTAAACCGAACATTGTTGTCTTTCTCTCTATTGTTCCTTGAAATATTAACAAACGTTAACCATAATTTACGCGTGAACGAGCCTTTGAACATATTTGTCTGAATAATACCGATTCTTTTGTAGATTTCCCCAAATGACAACTTTATCAAGCTGTTAGCCGGACGTGCATATGGACCATAGCTTGCATTTTGTTTGTCTTCACCGTCGCCGGAGGTGGCTGCCTCTTGGCTTATGTTACCGTTCCCGAATATCAATCCTCGGACTTGCTTCCCGTTCTTGGTATCTCTTCGTTTGCATGCCTTGGACGTTCTGGATCGTAACTGCACGATGTATCGTTTATTGTTGTGGGCGTTCTGGTTCAGGATGGTATTAGGTAGCTTGTACGCTCGTAACTCTGCCAAAGTTCCCGACGACGGCAATGCTGAAGTTGTTGATGTGAAATCTAATAAGAATGATGGTGAAACTAAAGATATCTAATGCTTATTGAAATGGGTTTGACTTCATCAATGGAATCGTTATTGTAGATAATTATACTTAAGCTTTAAAGGTCGAAATTGTCAGGGTCGAAGCTAGGAAATTAATATTGGATTGAGGTAAATTTATAAAATTTTGAAAAATCAAAGCTAAAAATATATTTTCAAAGGACTAAAATTGAATTATTGATAATTGAGAGGGATTAAAGTTGCTGTTATTATTTAACTTAAGGAGGGCCATAGATCACTTCATGCCCCTATCTATTCTCCTATTTTGTGAGTAGCTATATACAAGTTCTAATTAAATCTAAAGTGGTTCTAAAGATATACTTAATTTTTATTTCAAATATATTAATTTTTTAATTATTCAATTTGACATTTAATATTATTTTTTGCTAACTTCTATAAAAAAAACCCCTTAATTAAGCATGTTCATTCTTTTAAACTTAAAATTGAAGGCTTAATTTATTTATTTATTTATTTCCGTAGATAAGAAAAACTCTAATTATTAGATTTGTATACTTGTATGTACAGTATTCGAACTCAATACCTAAATAGATAACAATAAATCTCTTAACTACTAAAAACCCATGAAAGAGAACTTTTCACTAACAGTGTATTGAATAATAATTTATTGATTTATTAATACATGCAAAAGCAATTTGGTTTATAGTTTATTTATTGATTTTATTAAACATGAGATATGCTTTATAGTTTATAAATATCACCATCACTGGAAAGTTAAGGGACTAGTAGGAGCTTTGCCCTAATATGGTAAAGCTCCTACTCACCATATAATATTACATGCATGGTGAAATTAAGGTGAAATTAAAATTTGCTTACACTTGTAATTTATGTAAAACTACATAGAAAAAACATGTATATATGAAAATTAGTAATAACAATATTTTAATGTATATATATGAACTTAATTAACATTGCATATGAATGTAGTTGAAGAAGACTGGACAGGAAATCCAGTTGTTCTTACCAATGTCCGACAGAATCAAATTCATGCTACTGTAATTGCTTTTGAAAGGAATTGGAAGAGAAAGGCAAAGGAAATGGTTGGTCCGAGGGAACAAAAGAAGGGTGATGATGATGAGACAAAACATTTAACGTAGAATATACATTGTTGTTGTTGAAACCTAAATTCTGTTCATATCCCGATGGTTGTTGCCGGAGATTCTGTTGTTTTTGCAGCTCTGGTTTTTGTTGCTTTGGGAACACAACCTTCTCCCC